CATTCATTTTGAATAATAAATCCATAATTTTTCTTTTTAAGAAAGTATATCACCGGCTTGTTGTTCAACTAATGTTGACATCTGTTTAACATCAGTTGTCCATTGATCTAATCGTTTTTTTAATGTACCAACTTGTCGTAAATCTAATACACGTGGTTTAACCCAATGCATATTTAATTTTTCATCAACTTGATCAATACTTCCACGTATTAAACCTAATGATAAAGCTTGCATTGCTAATAATTCAATTTGATCAACAGATAATTTCGTTCTTACAGCAACATCATTAAAACCTAATGCACGTGCGCCACCAGCAGCAAAAATCATATCCATAAGACAAAGTAAATTGATTTTTCTTTTTAATATTGGTTCAGCCATACGTAAATCAGGTTGAACTTGCCAAATTGGTTTTAATGCTTCATATTTATCAACATCACCAATATTAAATGCTTGTAATAAATCAATCAACCATTGTTCACGTGTATCTTTAAGTGCATCAAGTACAGGATGTTGAAGAATTTCACCAAAATTATAAACATTTTCAGCTAATAATGCAGCTAAACCAAGATTAAATGCACGTTCAGCTTTTTCTTTAACTGGAATTGATGAATTATCAATACAACCTAAAATGAATATAAATATTAATATATATTTATTTATTTATTTAATTTAAAGAAATTTACCAAGATATTTAAGTGCATTTTGATAATATTCACTATGATTACCCATAACTCGATAATAATTTGATGCTAAATCATAAAATCTTGAATGAACTGTTGTTAAATGATCAAGTTCATCAAATTGTGGTGCTAAATCTTCGATGAGTTTTTTTGTTTCCGGTAAATTTTTTGTTATTAAATATGCTTTACCAATTGTAATATCACATAAGAGAACAGCTAAGGAATTTGCTTTAACTTTTTCACGTATTTGTTGAACAAATTGTATAGCTTGATCAACTTGTTTAAATGTACGTGTTATAGGTATAATAATTTCAACTAAAGCTAATTGATTAATACGATGTTCAAAATCCGAAAGAAAATTTTCATAAAATTTTTGTAATTGATCATCATTTTGTAATTCATCACGATGAACAAATGATGTAACACGTAATGTTAATTCATGCCATAAACGACTTTGATATAATGATTCAAGTTCAAGCCATTCATTAGCTAATGCACCACCATTTGATTTACGTTCGTTAAGATAGGCTTCAACACGAGACGACATCGAAAAGAGATTTTAAAAGATGAGGTTTAGTCGATTTTTTCTTCTTACAATTATAATGTTGATCAATGAATGAAATGAATAAACGTATGTTGATAAAAAAAGAAAAAGATGACTCATTTTTGTATATCAGGAAAATTTGTGATAAATATATAAACATTAAATTAATAAAATCTTAATTAGATATATTTTATAAATATTATTTTTATAAGAGTTTAATTTGAAATTTTTTTAAAAAGCGACATCTATATTAATAGTTATGATTGGACTTGTTCTAGATTTAAATTCTGCCTTGTTGTACTATAGATAAAATATTTAATAAGTATGCCCAAAAAGATGCACTTTATAGATAATGGAATCAATAATTTATTTTATTTTAGATTTTTATTTAAGAGCATAACCAAGAGAATGAGTTCGGATAACTCTTCAACAGAAGGAGTATGTTCATTTTTTATCTCTTACTTATAAATAATTTTCTTTTGTTTTTAGCAAGTCATTAAATGCAAAGCAGCTGTTGCTTGGAAAGCAAAAAGTCCATTAAAATTCGAAGAAGTTGAAGTTTCACCACCTGGTAAAGGTGAAGTTCGAATTAAAGTATAAATCAATGAAACAATTTTGAAAAACAAATAAAATCAAATTCTTCTTCTCTTTTTTGTAGAATCTATTTACAGCTTTATGTCATACGGATGCTTATACACTTGATGGTCTTGATCCTGAAGGTGTTTTCCCTGTTATTCTCGTAAGTAACATCAGATGATCTTGTTTTTCTATTATCTATTTTTAAGGGACATGAAGCAGCTGGTGTTGTTGAATCCATTGGTGAAGGTGTTACATCAGTAAAAGCCGGTAAGAATTCCTTTATATAAACTATTGTTTTTTGCTATATGTAATTTTAGGTGATTATGTTATTCCTCTTTATATACCTCAATGTTATAAATGTGAATATTGTTTAAATCAAAAAACAAATTTATGTCAAGCTGTTCGGTAGATTTATTTCATATTACTATTAATCTATATTAATTGAATAAATAAACTTTTTTAGAGCAACACAAGGACAAGGTTTAATGCCGGATAAAACTGTACGATATAAATGTCAAGGAAAAGATGTTTATCATTTTATGGGTTGTTCATCATTTAGTGAATATTCAGTTGTATGTAGAAATAAAGTTTTTAACTTGTAATTGAAACAGAAAATTTCTTCTTTTGTCTAGGTCTTGGAAATTTCACTATGTAAAATTCATAAAGATGCACCATTAGACAAAGTTTGTTTACTTGGTTGTGGTGTTTCAACTGGTTATGGTAAGTAACATAAAGAATGAAATGAATTAGAAAATATAACTGTATTTATATCAGGTGCTGTTCTAAATACAGCAAAAGTTGAAAAAGGATCACGTGTTGCAGTTTTTGGATTAGGTGCTGTTGGTTTAGCCGTTATTATGGTAAGAAATTTGAATAAATTTTGTTTTTTAATGTTTTTTCAAATATTAAACTCTAGGGTGCAAAACAAGTTGGCGCTTCACAAATTGTTGCTATTGATATGAATCCAGAAAAATTTGATTTAGGTAAATAAATTCTAAATATAATAAAAGAAAAACTATTTAAATTTAATATTATAGCTCGCCATTTTGGTGCTACCGATGTTGTTAATCCAAAAGATATCAAAGATCCAGTAAGAAAAAGAACTCTCTAAGAATTTCTATTAATTCGTATATTTAGATACAACAATATCTTGTTGAAAAATTTGATGGTGGATTCGATTATACATTTGAATGTGTTGGTAATGTTGAAGTTATGGTAATTGAATTAATCTAGTTTATAAAATAAACTAAGTCTTTATTATATTTTTAGCGTGCTGCTCTTGAATCTTGTCATAAGGGTTGGGGTGTTAGTGTTATTGTTGGTGTAGCTGCTAGTGGTCAAGAAATAAAAACTCGTCCATTTCAACTTGTTACTGGTCGAACATGGAAAGGAACAGCTTTTGGAGGTAAGAAATATATAAGATTTATTTTTTTGTATTCAATCTTTGTATTTAATTTTAGGTTGGAAAAGTCGTGATAGTGTACCAAAATTAGTTAAAGAAACAATGGATGGCACATTAAAACTTGATTCGTTTGTTTCACATAAAATGCCATTTGAACAAATCAATGAAGCCTTTGATTTATTACATTCTGGCAAAGGGTAATTATGATAACAAAAAAGAAATTCATTAATTTATTATTATTTATTTTAGTATTCGTATTGTTCTTCAAATGACACCGGATGGCAAACCAAATTAATGATTTATTATTTTTTTTTAAAAAAAGAAAAACAAAACTTTTTATTTTTATTTCGTTTAATTAGTGCTTTATGATTTGATTGGTCTAATTTAGTCTTTCATTTTTAGATAAATATCATTTTTTATTATTTGAAGAATCTTTTAATATGAGTGGTAAGTTTAAAAGAAAAAGATTTTATTTGAGAAGAACTTTTTTTTCATTAGGTAGAGCAAATCCACCTGAATTAAAGAAATTTATGGATAAAAAATGTCAGTTAAAATTGAATGGAAATCGAACAGTTACTGGTGTATTACGAGGTTTTGATCCATTTATGAATTTAGTTGTTGATGAAGCTTATGAAACTATTAAAAATGGTGAAATACGTCAGATTGGAATGATTGTTGCACGAGGAAATAGTATTTCAATGATTGAAGCACTTGAACGACTTTAGACAAAATATTGTTGTTATGTTTTGTTTTTGTACTTTCTAATGTGCATGTAAATAATCGTTTGAAATTGTTTATGAATAAATTATGTGTAAAAATCTTGTCATGATGACATAGGAAAAAATTGAAATGCCTTTTCAAGCATGTAACTGATACTTATATATATATATATATAATTCTATTTATACTAATATTAGCGAGCAGTTTGGAAATAGGATAATACGTGTTAATCATTCTGAGTCACTTCCGAAATAACATAGATTAAATTACATCTACTGAGATTAAAATATACGTTTAAATTTTTACAATAGTTACTAATGAATAAGAAATATCTTCTCATCATGATTCATATAGGTAACTGGTGACCTTGGAGATTGGTTTTTTCCATTTACCTCATAGAAAGTATTTTTATCTATATGACTACTTGTAAATGGCGATAAAAAAAACATAGTTTTCACCTGAAAAAGAATATATCCAAAGAAACAAATATTACCATAGTATATCAATACAACAGTTTAGTATATTTAACGAAGATTATGGATATATGGTAATATATTCATAGAGTGAAATACAGATAGGAAATAGTCCGATAGTTATCATATACTTTATTGACGTCGATTGGCTACATTTTTGACATGTTCTTGCATATGTTACACCTCTTTTGCTAATTAAATAAAATGTTTTTATATTTTGGAGGTAAAAAAAGGGTGTATAGACGAACGCCATACCTATGCAATATTCTTACGCCATCTTTTTGTTAATGATCAGGGTTTCAAAGAAATGTTTTACTGGTTTACATCATTTAATTGCTAAAAAATAATGTATGTTCGTTGAAAAAGAAAGAAAAAAAAATTACATATTCTCTTATGATAGAACGAACAAAACGTAACATTTATGACAAATTTTCTTTTTCTCTTTTCTACTAACATCATCATTTGAATATTTTCATATTTTTTTACTTATTTAATTGCTTTTATTTTAGAATTCAAATATTATTTATTCGTTTTATATTTTTTTTCTTTTATTATTTAATAGTAATAAGAATTCGTAGTTTTTTTAATCTAAAAATAACATTATGTTTGGATGGGGTGTTAATTTACATGGTCAACTTGGTCTAGGATCATCATTAACATCTAGTTTTATACCAACACCACAACGTATTGTATTTTTTAATGATCATATATGTATACAAGTTGCATGTTCACTAACCCACTCAATATTTTTACTTGATGACGGAAGTGTTTATTCTGCAGGAAATAATGAATATTCACAATTAGGTCGAGAAGGAAAAACATCGATACCAGGTATAATATAAAAACGAAAAGAAGCAAAAAAAAGAAAATTCTTTTATAATTACCTGTTTTGTTTTTTTTCTTCATATCATAGAAAGAGTAACCTTACCACAAAATGATGAAGGTGTACAAGTCGCATGTGGACAATATTTTTCAGTTTGTCTTACAGCAAATGGAAAAATTATTGTTTGGGGTTCTATTAGTGGAAAAATAACAAATGATGATGGATTTTTTTATAATAAGCCTGAGTATGTTCATTACTTTTTTTGGTATCTTCAATGAAATATTTTAATTTTAAATATAGATATCTAGGAGGATTTACTGATAAACGAGTAGTACAAATTGCTTCAGGATATAATCATTGTCTTGGATTAACGGATGTAAGTGAATAAATTTTATTTTAATTGAATATAATTTTGTATATTCAGGATGGTACAGTCTACGCAATAGGAATTAATACACATGGGCAGCTTGGCTTAGGTAATACTAAAGATTGTCGAGATGCTACTCCAATTGCATGTTTACGTGGTAGTCCCCTTGTTCACATAGCTTGTGGTGCTCATCATTCTTTGATAATATCAAAGAGCGGGTTTGTTTAATTTATAATTAGAAATAATTTTTCTTATTAATATATTATATGGTTTTATCTTTCAGTACAGTTTTTACATGTGGTCTTAATGAGTAAGTAGAAATATTTCGTATATATTATTTGAAATGAAAATAAATAAATATATATTTAGATCGGGTCAATTAGGAGTTGGTGATACTGATACTCGTGTATGGCCAAGTAATGTTAAAGCATTACAATATCAAAAAGTAGCATATGCTGCATGTGGAGAAAAACATTCAGTTGTTGTTACATTTGATGGTGGAGTATTTTCATTTGGATCTGGTATGCACGGACAACTTGGACATAGTACAACCAATGATGAACTTTTACCAAGAAAAATTTCAGAATTAATGGGTTCAGAAGTATCACAAATAGCTTGTGGAAGGTATATATTTGATATTATATAAAATAGTGTTTTAGAATTTTTCTTTTTTCTTATATTTTTATCGATTTTCATATTCAATTTAGATCTCATACAGTCATATTCCTTCCAAAATCTGGTCAAGTATCGGTGTTTGGTTTAGCTTGTGCTGGTCGTTCAGATACTCATATAACAACTTGTGTAACTATACCACAAAAACTACCCATACATTTTTTAACACCAAAAACTATGAAACAGGTTTATTTTCTTCATAGAATTTTTCTTAGAGATTTTATTGTAAAATTTTTTTAGCTTCAAAGACAAACGTCAGGTAGTAATGGTTATTCATCGAAATATAATAAAATAAAACAAGAAGATATATACAGTGATCAATCGTACATACAAGTTATAGGAATTCATGCCGGTGGTCATCAAACATTTGTTCGAATTTCTCATCAAGTTAGTTATTTTTTTTATATAAAAAAAATTTATTTATTTTTTATTCTTTTTCTAGCCACAAGTTCCAGATGATTATCGAACTTATTATACAAATCGTCCAATTCTTGAATTAACTCTTGATTTTGCAAAATGGTTATATCATGCACCTGATTCACCTGATACATTAAAAGCTGCTAAACGGTTCGTATATTTTTCTTATTAAAATTGTTTTATTTTATTCTTTTGTTTTTTGTTTAGAAAATTATCTCGCATGTTTAATACAGAAGCATGTTTAAATGGGTCATTTTTAGCTTTACCAGATGGACATTTTCGTACAACATCAAATAATCCCGGTATTGATCTTGATCAAGTTATTGCTGTTATGGAAAAACTACGTTCATGTGATTCAACAATTCAAGAATTGGTTTGTTTTTCTTAAATTTAATATTTAATTCATTTATTTTCTTTTTGTTTTATTAGTTATGTGAATATATTCAATCTATTCTTTTATCATTACCTGAAACAGCTCCATGTTTTGAAGCTTTACGGGTCTATCTTATTCTACCATTTTGTCATATATTTGAAAATGAAGATATGCTTGAAACTGTTATTGCACCATTTGCTCAAGCAACAACACGTTTGAAACCAAAAGCTGACGGGCGAGTATTAGATTATTGGATTTTAAGTATTGGTCGACAGTTTGTTGAGAGAATACTTGAAGTAATAATTACAAAAAGAAATTTGTGTTTTTTCATATTGTAAATTATTATTTTCATTAGTTATACAGACCACTTGTTGTTAAAGCTATTCGTACTAATCCTGGAACTCACGCATTAGCTGCACAACAATATCAAGTAGTTTTAAAATCGATATTAGAATTACTTAAAAAAGTTCATCATGTAAGATATAGATTTATAATAAGAAACATTTTGAATTTTAATCTTACAGGTTTCATGTAATATGGCTAAACCTGAGTTAGTAGGCCATGATACATTCTATATGAAAGAACTTAATGATTTAATTGATATCAAACAAGATTATGATTTTTGGCGAGAACGTCAACATAACGGGGTTAGTAAAATATAATTTTTTTCTTCTAAATTAAATATTTTCTATTAGGATAAGAAAACAATTTCATTCTGTGATTATCCATTTTTATTTGATCTTAAAGCAAAAATTCGTAAGTAATTTAAAATAAATAAGTTCGTATTTAAATCTAATCTTTAGTATTACTTCAATATCATGGACAACTTGAAATGCAAGAAGCAATACGTAACGCATTTATGCATAATTTTCAAACAATGATGGGTGCACATATTGATACTGTTAATCCTTTACTTGTACTACGCGTTAATCGTGAAACAATTGTACAAGATACAATCAAACAAGTAAGATTTAGAAGAAATAAAAATTTTGGTATATCAATAAAAATCTCTTGTTTTTTTAGTTAGATAAATATAAAGAAGAAGATTTTAAAAAACCATTACAAGTTACATTTCAAAATGAAGAAGGTCTTGATGCTGGTGGTATACGTAAAGAATTTTTTCTTTTATTAACGAAAGAAATATTAAATCCAATATATGGAATGTTTAGTAAGAGCACAAAAAAAATTAATTATTGATTTATTTTATTTTTGAATTTCGTAGCCGTTTATGAAGAAACAAATACAATATGGTTTAGTGAATATATGACGGAAGAAGAAACAATGTATAAATTAATAGGAGTTAGTATTATGAATATTCTTTTCTATAATTTATCATACTCTTGGTATGTTTTCTAGACACTTTGTGCATTAGCTGTATATAATGTAACAATCATTGATCTTCCATTTCCATTAGTTTTATATAAAAAACTATTGAAAAAAGGTAAAATTGATCTTGATGATATGAAATCATTATCACCATCAATGTATCAAAGTCTAAAATCGGTATTGGATTATAAAGAAGATGATCTTGAAACCGCACTTTGTTTAACATTTGTAATTGATCGTGAATTTTGTGGTGAAGTTCGTCAAACTGAATTAAAACCAGGTGGTGCATCAATAATGGTTAATCAAAAGAATAAACAAGAATTTATTGAGTTATATATTGATTATATTTTTAATAAATCATGTGAAAAACAATTTCACGCCTTTTCAGCCGGTTTTCGACGTGTTATTAATTCGAAACCATTAGAATTATTTTATCCCGATGAATTAATGTCATTTGTGGTAAATATTCAAAAAGTATCTATATAAATTTTCAAAAGATTTCTCTTTTTTAATTTTCAGGTAGGTAATAGTAGTTATGATTGGAATGAATTTCAAAAGAAAACAGAATATAAAGGAGAATATCATGCTAACCATCATGTTATGTAAGAAATTAAAAACGTTTTTTTTCTTAATGAAATTTTTGCTTTTTTTTAGTCAATGGTTTTGGCAAGTCTTTCATAAATTAGATGACAAAGATAAAAAAAAATTTCTTTGTAAGTATAAATTAAATCTTGTCAAGAAAAACCTTTTTAGAAACAAAATCACTTAAGTTTCATAGGATTAATTAAAAAAGATTATACTATTTTATATTGTCATAAAATATTTTGAAAGATACTTTTATTAATTATTAAAATTAAGTAAGTACACTGTCATCAACGATGACATTAAAGCTTACATGTTTCAGTATAATGATAATGTGTCCAGAGATCTAGAATGAATTATGAAAACAGAAATTGTTGTTAATTATCTTTGCAAATGGTCTGTTTTGTTTCATTTATAACGATATTAGTCTTTAATAAGGTTACAAATCTATAGGATCAAAATATTATTGTCTAGGGTAATATAGGTTTTAGCGCTGCATATGTATAGACTAGTTCGAAGGATAAATAATCAATAGTTACCACTCATTTTTATAGATTTTATAACAAATATATATATACTATTGTCAAGAGATTATTGAAATACTTCTTTAGCATAATTAATTGATCTATGATTTTGGTTATACATTTATTAATTAAAGTAAACAGAATAGTTTTAAAAAAAATCATATAGAGAAATATTAGTAAGAAAAGCTAAAATAATCATGTAACGATACTTTTCCAGCTAATAATTATGGTGTCATTTAATAAGATCAATTAGTGAAACATGAATCTTTATAAATAGACTTAATTGTTAAATCTTCTCTTCAATACACTGAAATATTATCTTTTACATTGTCTACTAAAATATTATCATAAATACATTATAAGATCTACAATAATTAATCTAAAGACTGAAAAATAGCGTACCTTTATTGCTAAGAATTTGCACTTCATGCCTTGTATAATGTATTATATAACAGAAAATAGAAAACTTCGAATTCTTTAGTTTTAAGCTGTCTATCCAAAAATTTATCTGTAGATAGATAACATTCCTAATAATCTATATAAAACATAATAATCAGAACTCCTTTGAGATCAATTCAATATATTATCTAGTATAAAACTTATTTATTGTCAACTTAAAGAAAAACTATTATCAGATTTCATTCTAGACAGAATTATAAAATAAGCGTCGTACAGATAAATATAGCAAAGTAGTAAGTAAAATTATGCTTATTACCACAATTAGTATATTTTTATAAAACTTACCATAAAAGGAACTACTGATTATAAGAAAAAAAAGGAAAAATGTTTGCCGCCTATGTTCAAGGATGAAAATACTAGATTAAAGAAGGTTATATTAATAGTAGACAAACGACAATTATTTTTAATTTCCGTTTATTCACATAGTGATGAACATTGCTGTTATATAAAAAAATTTATTTATGAGTTCAATTAATATTTGCATATTTATATTATTTTCTAGTATTTCTTACTGGTTCCGATCGAGTACCTGTCTTCGGATGGAGTCAAACATTGGTAGATAAATCATTATTAATTTATGAAATAATAGTCTAGAATTTTTTTGTTTTTTTCTTTCTTTTAAGCCGATGACAATTCAACGAAGTCATAGTGATGATATTCATTTACCTGTTAGTCATACATGTTTTAATATTCTTGATTTACCATCATATTCGTCAAAAGAAATACTAAAATCTAAATTACTTGAAGCTATACAACACAATCAAGGTTTTAATATTGTTTAAATTTTAACGGATAATTAAACACAAACAATCAAATATTGTTTTATTATTTCATATTCGATATAATTAAAAAAAATCCATACAAATTCATGTTTTACTATTTTTTGTTTGATGAACAAAATTGTTCATATATATTATACTTATTTTTTTAAATATTTTCGAATTGTAAATAATAAATATGTCTATTTTTTTAGTCAAGAAAAAAAAACTTTATTTTATTATTATAAAAAAAATACAATAGATTGATTTTTTATCGTCATCGTCGTGTTCGTTTTTAGGTTCTGTTAATTCGAAATATCACAATAAAATAGATCACCAGGATGCATGTGGTGGTGGCCGAGGTAATGGTGGTTGATAGTTAAGATTCATTTGGGAACGAAATTGTTCTAATTGAATCGCATAACGTTGTGATGGTTTAAGAAATTGATAAATATTATTCGCTTGATTGCGAGTCTAAATTTATAAAGAAAGAAACATCAGTTATATAAACTTACAAAATAACAATTGATTCTACTTTTTCTTCTGCATATCCTCGTAAACGTTCAGTATTACTATGAATTTCAGTATATTTTCGTTTTTTATCATAAAACGACATCGCGTTGTTTGACGAAGAAAAAAAGAAATCAATGTATATGTAATGCCTTTCTTTAGTTTTTTTTTCTTTTTTTTTTTTTTTGTATGTTTACCGACTATTGTTATTTTACGTTTCTTTCTTACTTCTTTTCATAAGAAGAAAGAAAAGAAAGAAAAAACAAAATCAAATGGTTGGCATGCAACTAGTTTCTTTAACATATAAACAATATCGATTGGATGCTTTCCGGAATACAATTGTGACTCGAATAATAAATTTACCTCGATACCAATCGTCTTCATCTGCTTCATTTGCTTTCCGATTTCTATTCAACAATGGAAGTTTTACAGCTGTTGTTGTTATCGTTGTAACAGATCCATTCCCATTAGAATTGTTACCTGCAGCTGTAACAATACATCGAATAGGTGATACATTTGTCGTAGGATTTGAATATAAAGTACGTCGATGTAAATCTAATAGACTTCGTCGTACAATAGAAGGTATACGGTTCGGATCTAATAATGTTTGTGGTGTTAATGTTTTTTGAGGAGTTTCAACATGAATTCGATAACTACTAGTACTTGGTAGAGCTAATGAACCAACACTACGATTTCTTCGATTTTCGCCTAATTCCAATGCACTCGGAGAATTTAAATGTTGTGATAAAGCTGACATACGTAATGTTGAAGTTGATTTAACATGCAAACATGTTTCACTTGGAGAACGAACATAGATAGTTGCACGAGGTGATGCATCAATATTTGGTTCTGATGTAGCACGAATAAAACTAACAGGTGCTGGAAGTGTTGATTGGACGGAATCGTTTGAATGACGATCACGACGTGATGATGGACATACACTTACTTTTGTATGTAATGAATAATTAGGAAATATTGATGGAGGATTACAAATTCTTTCTAGTTTTCGAGCTAAACTAATAATAGCTAATAGCCATAAGCCAATAACAACTAAGACAAGTAGACTTTCAACAAAACTCATTCGATAAATACCCTCTTCCATTTCTCCTATAAATTGAAAAACAAAAAATCATAAATAATTGATATCGGAAAACAAATTTAATTACGATAAATTATCGATCGAATACAATTTTCTTAATAAAATATTGACAAGAAAAAATACAAAAATAATTTTTAGGAATTTATTATTCTGGCAAGAAATACTCATAACTCTCTTTTATGAGATTTTCTAATATTGTTTTTTTTCCATAAAGAAAAACAAAATTTTTTACGACGGAAATTAGAGTTTTCTATTTCTTTTCGGATAACTATAATCTTATTCGAGAAATCAAAGAGTAATATAACTGATAAAATATTTTTTTTCTATTTCTTTTGTTTTTGATTGGAATAAAAAATTAGCCTAGATAATCCAATAATAGAAACATAAATAACTGATGAGGAAGAAATTGAATATGTAGAAGAGAAAAACATTTTTCAAATCTGACATGAAATAAAAGATGAAATATATAACTAGATTGTTGTAATAAGAAAAATCAAGAGTACTTATTAACTGAAGTATTTATTCGTTAATTTTCATCTTCGATAATAGAAAGATCATGGTATTGAAAGTCTTATATAATCTAAGATATTTTCATCAAAAAAGAAAAGAAAAAGAAATTAACAATAAAAGTTATTAAGATAAGATAATCATTTTTTATAAGATAACTTACGTGTCGAGTTGTTCGACATTGATTATTGTTATTATTATTATTATTATTATTATTGTGGAGTAATATCTCGATGGGAGCATTCATATTATTCTAAAGATAAGTTACAGAGATAAACATTGATTAGATCGATCATTGAGTATCCACATTAGATTATTTCTGTACAATATTGTCGTAAATAGAACCTATTTTACTAGCACAGAATATTTCCTCTTCACTTATTTCTCTCTCTTATCTTTTCTGACAACATAAGAAATTCGTATATATATATATATATAGATAGATTCATAGACAAAAATTCTAGTAGCCTCACAATCGATGATCTTCTCTTCTGCTTTACAACGATAGTGAAAGAGAGAGAGAGAGAGAAAGAGAAATAGTCTAAAGACTTGATGCCGAGCTGTTAACAAATGCGTCACATCATTCGATAGCGAGAAAAAAAAATGTCGTCTTTTCGCCTTATTCTTATGTTTTTTCCAGTTAGTTTTTTTTCTCTACCTCTTTCTCTATCTCTTTCTCTCTCTATTTCTTCTTATTATCTTTGTTCTTCTCATTACTTTCCTTGGATTTAGAGCACGAGAAAGCAAACGAGAATATTGAGCATGTGTCGTTTCAAGATAACAACAGAAAGAAATATTTTTGTTTTTGACACTCGTGGAAAACTGTCTGACAATATTAAAATGATCATATTATAAAATAAATAGACAAATCCATCGTCTTGTTGATTTATTCTAATGTACAAGGTTTTTATCGAATAAAAAGAATGTTGATTACATTTCTTGTTGATTTTTCTTTCGCAAAGAAATGCCATTCTTGGTATTATAGATCTGAGAAAACAACGCTTCTAGTATGTTATATAGATACTGATCTATCAATGTGTTTTCACTTGTTTATTTTATAATCCCTAGAGTCTATAATTTCTATCAATATGATAGAGTTTTTTGCGTGAGAAAAATATTCTTCTTATAATTTCCAACCTTGAAATGCCGACGAATGACGTGGTCTATTTTTTCAATTAATTTATTAACACTTATTGTCTGATGACAACCAGATTTCTTTCTCATCTTCTGTTTGGAAATCTTCATATGCGTAATCATCCAATATCATACTGACATTGATGAATGTCTTCGAGATGTTTTTCTTTTTGGGTTATTAAGAGCTAATACTAGTCAAAATATAACAAAACATTGCTTGTTTTTCTGGTCTCCGATGAATATATATATGTCATACGAGCACATAATGATCGTTTTGCAACTTTATTCTTACTGTTTTGCAGTAAATGCACATAAGACGGAAGTTATTACTGCATGATGTTATCAACAATATTCTACGCATAAACAATAATACTCTTCCATTAATTGACTCAATCGTTTCCTATGGTTATTTTGCTCTTTTTTTCTTTTTCTTATTCTTCTACTTCTAATCCTTACTGGAATCTCATTTAACACATTTCTTCTTTTCTTTTGATTTTTCCTTCAGAAATTCATACCAAATGAGAAGATATTTATGATAGAACATGACAGTATTTTGACTGTGCACTCACATAGTTGTATTATGTGATTATATGATAGAGTATGTTCATAAAGAAATTGACAGAGCGAGAACGAACGAAGAAAAAAAAATCTAGACTAATATTGTCTATAGAAAAGCTAATCGAATGCACAAAGAATGAATCTAAAAACATAATGCAGATTTTCAATATATGAATTAACTTTCTCTATATAATACTATCATCCAATGATCCTTTTTTTCTCTATTTAAACAAAATTTAGATGATGATATTTTTATCGAAGCAAAAAAAAAAAGGAAATTTTCATAAGGTTGATTTAGTTATAAAAATTATAGTTTATGAAAGATGAAAGCATACATTATTCTTTAGTAAGAATAATTATTATGATAACGAGAGAATACAACCGAAAAATAATTTTTTTCTAGTACTCTTATGGATGAATAATTTTTTGTTGTTCATTCTTATAAAAAAGCAAGTAAAAAAGAATATAAAAAAAAAAGAAAGAAGAAGAACAGTAAAACGAAAACAACAAATAATGATAGAAATCTATCGTTTGATTAATTTTGTATTTGTGTAGTAGAGATAAGAGCAAGTAAATGTAATGCTGGACCAAGTTTCATTTTAAATATTTTTATTAAATGATCTTCAGTTAATAATGGTAATGTACGTCCATCGATTTTTTGTTGAATAAATTTCTATAGAATAAATAAAATATGAAAAAATAAAGAGAACAATAGTTTTACTCGAGCAATATTATTATTATTGGGAAAATGTTGTTCAATAAAACGACCAACATCAGCTACTGACCAATTGTTTAATGATGATAATGATGTACTAGGTACGACTGGGATATGAGAATAATCACATAGTGTTTGAATTTTTGGTTGTAACGTTGTTGTTGTTGTTGCTGCTGTCAATAAAGGAGGTGACAATGGACGTATTGGTAATGCAAGTTGAGTGTTTATTGGTATTGACAAATGTCGTTGAGAATTATGTGTATATACAATTTTTGGTAGCGATTGTTGTTGTTGTTGTTGTATATGTAATGATGGTGATAATATCAACGATGGAAATAAACTGACTGCATTAGTTCTCATATCCAAAGGTCTACGAAAAAAATTAATGATCTTTTCCCTAGACTTAAAATATCTTTTTTTTTTAACTTACTCGTCTTTGACTTTACTAAGATCAGTTGATGTAACTGATAACGAATTCGATTTTGATAATGTCTGAAGCCAACGACGATATTGTTCATAATCTCTTCCCCCACTTTGATAAAATTGTCTAAACGCACTAGTTGAACCATTCGCGTCACGCACCATTACAGATTTTACTCGACGTTTTAAGACACGTGAGCTACGAGTAGATCTTATTGAATGATTACTATTCGTATTGCTCATAATTTCTATATAAGATATTATTCGTAGTTGTCACAGTTTAATAAATTCAATATAAAATATTCTTGTTATAACAAAATTTATTTTATGCATATATTATTTATGGCAATCTTTATGTATTCTTTTAAATGATCGCCACGCATGATGTAGCAAACATCATAAGTGTGATCACAAAATCAAATATACGGTCTTGCTTGAGTGATTTTCTTTTTGTTAGTTTCATTTTTTTTCTCTATAGTATGAGTGAATTTATAACTATAAAAAGGAGTAGTAAGACGAAAATCAATTGACCTATACATATTTGTAAAAAAAGAAATAAAAAAGAAATCATATCAATATTTCTATTTAATTTATAAGAATATATCAATAGATTTTAACTTCTAATTTATTCGAGTAGATAAGTTTTTATATGAATCTCTCAAGAGAATAACATTCGAAAGTAATAATGCTATATTTATATTCATCAATTATTATCAAATTTAGATAGATGAATGAATGAGTAATTGGGCGTAAATGCAAATTTAGTGAGGTACTCTTGTTATATTTATGTGAAATGATGTTATCAGAATAAAACATACAATCAATGATTTTTTTCTTTGACTTACAAAACTGCTGAGAATTTCCTAGAATGTGTATGTAACGAATTCATAGTTTTTAAAATTCCTTTTTTTTCCGAAGTCAAGTAGATGAACACTTAGAAAAGTAAATGAATTCTCTCTGTCTAAGCTACTGTGCATATAAGATTTACATCTTTTGAAAATTTCATTACAATATATATATGACATTACCATCTCAATAGAAAATCTGCATATGAACAATTATAAATTATCTTTTTCGTACCATATCAAATAAATTCTATCAATATCTTATGTCATTCTAGTCTTTTAAAAGCACATCTATATAAATATCTGATAAAGCAGTACCTAGAAGCTACTAACTGTTCTTTTGTCTTCTAAGAAAAAAAAGATTTTCATTAATGAATAGACTCTAAATTAATCTTATTTTTTTATGACAGTAAACTATGTCATTTTTTGTATAAAAAGGTTTAATGAAAAAGAAATGAAATTTATTCCTTGTTGAAAGTATTATGCAGTACAATCATTAGTTTTATTTACAATTATATGAATAGTAAATATAATTATTGAGCTAATTTTTTTATACTTTAAGTATAAAAATAGTACGTTTGATTCATATCAATCCTGGTCATGAGTACTCGACTAGGTATCAGTCATATTGACTAAAGATTAGCATTGAGTAGAAAACTTGTTTTGTTAAACTTTCTTACAAACGATTTCACACAGATCTTTATAGCATCATTTTATTATTAAAACATGCCGGAAGTCTTAGCCGCAACACACATGACAAACAATGACGAAAAACTTAATAGGAAGTTGTAACTGAACGTTTTTGATGATTCTTTTTTTAAGAAACTGTTTATTGTATGAAGGTTTGAAGATGGAAAAGTGAAAGACGATATGGTAGAAAAAATATTGATAAGAAACGAAAGAAGAAGACCCTCATAGTCGATCGTGCGTAGCCGATACTTTCAAAATTGTCCTACCTACATTTATGTTACAATGATAATAATTGAACCTTCAATAACATTGATGACAAGCAAGTCAAACATTGACAAATGGTGAATCTCAATTATCAACAATATATCGGGTAACTTAAGTAGTAAAGAAAAACTCTCAGAAAATATTATTTTCATTCTTTAGTATTCATCATTTTGTTCGATAATATAAAATTTTCAAATGAGATAGACCCTATAGAAGTATACGAAATTTTCTTTGTAATTTTATATGAAGAAAGAAGAAGAATACTTCATTATAATTGACTATAATAATAGACATAAAAATATCTTTGCTAGATGTCGTTCATTCTCGATCAATTGATACTATTTATTATTTTCTTTTCTTTTCAATAAAATAAATTTCGTAATATCAAATCCATATTGATTTTCTCATTTATTTACTCTATTTATTTCTTTAGTCAGATGTCTCAGTAAGATAAAATTTAATTGGCTAATAAACTTTGTACCTTATGAATCATTACACAAAACAGATAAAGAAATAAACTATGTGTCTTTTATAAAATTTTTAAAAGAATTTTTCTTCTCATCTAATTTATTTTTAGATCAATAGTTAGTTTAATCTAAACTATCCTATTGTCTTTATTAGTCAATGGCGACAAATATAAAACACGATGATAATCCTTCATTAACAACAATTGTTGATAATCATTTACGTTCAATAGTTTACAATCCATCATTAAATTCTTTAATTTATCTTAATGATAAACAAGAAATCATAGTTCGTAGTGCTGATCAATTATCAACATTATTTCATCGTACATTACCAATAAATAATTCCAATGAATATTATGAAATTCTTTCATGTCATGACAAATTTCTTTTTCTAACATCAACACATATTTATGTTCGACAATTATATCAGGGTCTTTATTTACTTGATTCAGTTTTATCATCAATAAATGATGAAAATTGTCATGTTTTAATTGAATTAACATATGGTGATGCACAATTATTCTTACAATTATTATCAACATTAGATTTATCATCATCATTAAATCATATAACAGAATTTCGTGATGTATTAAAAAAGAAATTCGATGAACATAAATCATCATCATTATGGAATTTAATACAATTTTCATATGATTGTCTCAATGCAATTAAAATTTGTTTTGATATATTACGTTTACATAAACAACATATACAACAAAGTCAAACGAATCTTTCACCATTACCAGGAATTGTTGTCGCAGGTCTTTTACTTGATTATTTAACAAGATATTATCATCATAAAAAATCATTAACGACAAATCCAGATGAACAAATTGGTTCAACATTAGAAACATCCTCAACTACAACTACAACAACAACAACAACAGCAATAGCAACAACAATACAACCAGCAGTAGCACCGACTAGTAGTATATTTACTATAAATGGACGAACAACACGAGAACGTCTGATGTTTAGCGAAGCAACACGATATAGAACATTTACACTTTGGCCACATGCCGCATTCAGATGGCTTTCACCGGTATGCTAAACATTATTTCAGAGTTAATCTATTGATCGAGATTTTTAAATTAAGATAGAGTAAAGTGAGACGCTGTGTTTTAGTTGTTTCGAATGTCAATCAATAAGAAAACTTTTATCAATTGATTGTTTACAAGCATTTTATATGTCATTCTTAATAGAAGCAAGATTCATGATTGATAACCTTTATATATTGAGTTGTCATCTGTATAATATCTGTCGAGTAGATTCATTTGACTAAATGCATCATGAAACTAAATAAATTGTTGATAACAATCTACTACGTTCTTCGTCGAAAGTTTACGTTTGTTAAAATAAATAATGAAAATATTATTTCCTTTTCCGAGTAAAGATCTATAACGTCATTATTTATTTATAGGAAAGTATGGCTAAAGCTGGTTTTTATTATTCACCTTTAAAAGATAATGATGATCGTGCATTATGTTTTGCTTGTACTGTAACACTTGTTTGTTGGGAACCATCTGATTCTCCTTGGACAGAGCATGGACGTCATTCACCGAATTGTCCATTTATAAAAGGTGATTTCACTGAAAATGTTCCATTACGTACAACATGTTCAATTCAACCCGGGAAAAAAATCTTTTCAAATCAACAACAACAAAAATGGACAATTAAATCCAATGAATTATTATTTAATGAACATATACTATTATTTTTAAATGCTGATTGGATAATACGTTGCGTTGATATAACAAATGTTATTCATATAAAAACTCTATTATCATTAAAAAATCTTATTGAACAATTAACAACAGATATAAATCATGAAAATAATTCTTCGATTGATAATACAAATGAAACAATATTTATCGAACATTTTGATCGTTTAACAACAAGACGTTATTTAAATTCAACAATAATTCCACTTGCTATAACAATGTATCCGCTATCAATAACAAATGAAAGTGATAATTCGATTATATTTTGTTTTGTTCATTTATTAGAAACAAATAAATGTATTTTATTAACAACAACAACATCAACAACAGGAAATCAATATGAAAATATGATCTCATCAGTTGCATCAACAATAACAAATCCAGAACAAACAATTGAAACAACAATAAATGAACAAGCGAAATCAAATAATAAATATGATTATTTAATTGAATTTTCAAATTTTAAACAAATACCTAAACAAGCATATTTATATCAATTAACAAAAACAAAAATGATTTTATTAATAAATACAACTGAATGTATACATGGATATTGTATTGAATATGATCAAATAAATTTAACATTAAAAATTCTTTTCTATCATTGTATATATCAAACATCGACAAATGATATTAATATTGATTCAATAAATTCGATTATAATTGATGATGATGATTTATTAAATACAGATGAACAATCAATGATTAGTAATGATGAAGAAAATTTTGAATTAGAAGAAGATGATAATGGTGAAGATGATGATGATGATGATATAGATAATGAATGTTCAAAAAAAGATCAATATACAAATAAAATACATAAACGAAAATGTTTTTTAATTTGTTTAAAGTCTGGACATTTAATTTTCTATGATGTTTATGGAATAGAAAATAATCAAGAAGACAATTATATTGGAATATTAGCAGATCAACAAATAACAGGTTGTGTGGAAAAATGTGTTCATGTTAGAGGAACAGATACAATTTATGCATGGACAAATGATAATGGTGTTAAAAAGGTTAGTTCGATTTTAAAATACTTATCTCTAACGATAACAGTTTTGTGGGGACTAAGACATTTCGCACTAGGTATCCCGAATACCCGATAATTTGTCGGGATGTTCGGAAATGATTTTTGTCCTAGATAACTTTCATTACGAACACCCTATTTTCTTCCTTATGTTGGGAGATCGAAACAAACATATACTACCGGAAATCGTAATGAAAAGTTGGTGCGAAATGTCTCATTCTTGTTTTGTATAGGAATGTAAATTAATCTTTTATGAACTCCGAAGAGAAAATTTTCATTTAATAAGTCTAAGATTTGTTTTTTTTATTTTCAGTTCAATATTCGTGATCTATTTCCATCTTATTTTACTCATTTACAAACTGATGATAAAACTATGACAAATTCTACGAATCCTTTGGAATCAAAACCTTTATCTGACGAACAAAATACGAATTCTTTTTCGATTTCTGCTCTTCGGTCACTCCTGTCATTTACATCATTTGATTCTTCACCAGCAACATATTTCTTTGCTCAAGTCAATTCGTCTTATTGGATTGATACACTTGATACAACGAAAACAAATGTTGATCGTCATTCATGGCGTTTACAACAACCCCATTCAACTCAACAACAACAATCATCATCATCATCACCTAATCAACAAACGATTCCATCCATACATATATTTGATTTACAAACAGCAACACCATGTACATTACATACAATTGAATTTCGTTATACATTAAATCGACAACATTTATATAAAAAGAATTTATTTGTTACACTTTATCGTTGTTCAACTGATCAAAATGATGTTGATCAAAAAATAGAATTTAATCAATTAAATTCTTCATTAAATTTTTCAAATAATGATATTCTTGCTGGTCCATATTCATTAATTGATTATTTAGAATCACCTATACATGATCAAGGTCTAATACAATTATGTTCCTATGATTTATTAACCTATAAATCGAAAGGTTTTCGTCTTGTTCTTGAATCAAAATCTTCATCATCATCATCATCAACAACAACATCATCACCACAACAAAATTTATTTCCTATTGAAATTATTTCAATTACACTTCGTTCAACAAAACATCAGACACGTTTATTACGTTTATATGATCCTTCAACAATAAATTGTTTAACATCAACAATATTAACAACAACAAATGAAAAGAAAATCTTATTTTCATTAAATTTATTAATATCAATTATTTATACGCGAAATGATTTAAATAAATTAAATCAAATCAAATGTTTATTATTAGATCAAACATTTTTACAACGAACATTTATAAATGCATCAAGAACAATAGCTAAACGTACCACAACATTAATATTAATGATTATTAAAAATGATAATGATATTGAAAAATTTATTGAAAACTTTTTAAATTTATTTCAAATGAATAGTCAATATTTACTTGGATTTAAATCATCTTCAGCATTAAAATGGTTCTTTGTTATTATTGGACAATGGACTAAATTATATCAACATCAAATTGGAACAAAACTTTTACAATGGTTATTACAATTAGCAGATATTATACAAAATACGGATACAGTACAAAGACAAACTTTGAGAAATAAGTAAGTGATCAAAAGATTTAGAATCATATATTTCAGTTTGATAATCAAAAGCTCGTTGAAAATGATGTAATAAGTCTTTGATATATATATCTATTGTACTGCATCTTCCTGATCGTAGATACTTTTTAATAACTAATCAAGAAAATATCCGTAATTCGATAAAAAGTAATACGATCAAAAGATTTTCTTCTATATTTATACCTTTTGATTCACTTGTCATTGTTCCTATCGACAATGTTCTCATAATGACGTGACGTACATCAAGTCCTTTCCTTTCTGTCATATGACATTATTAGAATTTTTCATGTCATGTTCACTTAATCTCTATTTATGATTGGGATCACTGCTCCTAATAAGCCGGGCTTGATCCGATCCAACTCATGACCCGAATATTTTTAAATAAAATATAAATAATTTTCTACAGATATTGCGTATTATCATCGGAGTTATCTTCCGATAAATCATATTTGTGTCATGAAGACAAAATAAGAGTATATGTCGCAAGCAATAAAATAAATTATATACTGATATTAAAAAAATATCTTGCTGTTTCGGCAAATATTACTGTCTAATTCTTGAAGCCTTTTGAATAATTTTTGTATCTGACTCCTTTACAAAATATTAGGACTTAATAGAATCTCTCTCATGAAAATTTTGAGTGCATGAATAGTTTAGAAGTAAGAAGGCGTCTACTAGAAGAAGAGATTTACTATCAATTGCTCTTTAAACATTGTTGCTACTTCATCATCATGTATAAAACAATATATATGTGAGCAAATTGAATTTCTGTTGAAAGGGAAACCACAGCAAACGATAAGAAACATCTGAAACTTAAATGGCCACGGAAATAACATTGGCGAAAACTTAGAATATTATATGTAGATTATTCGCACTTATGGCTTGGACCAATTTGCAGCTCTGATGGGGATATTCCCAAACATGATCTATAAAATGTTTTGCACTGATTCTATTTTTCTTGCCTATCACCCTATAAATAGCCTATCGGTGTTAGTCGATATCTTTTGCATTGATAAATTTATAAAAATAATCGACTAGTATACTGACGGTCATCATCTCCTTAAAAGAATATCTTTTACTAAAAAAAATCCTACATCTCTATTTCTGTTAATAATCGAAAACATTTTTATAATGAATAAATAAGACACAAGTTTTCTTAAATGAATTAATTCTTTTAATATTTTATTATTTAGATTTGGATTCTATGCCGATCCATTCGATGCACATTTATTTGATGTTGATCTTGCAACATTAATTGAATGTAGTCTTCGTCAACGTAATCCTAATACATCGTCATCAACATCTTCTAATCCATCAAATATTTCTCAGTCATCTCGTCCACCTGGTATGAGTGACAATGGTTATGATCCACGTATTTATTCTCGTTATGGTACAACTGGTTTACCAGTCATACCTTCAGATCCTGATTCATTATATTCTTCATCAAACATTCAATATGCATTATCTAAACTTTTACCTAATTCTCTTTCGTCATCGAATGTTTATTTAAAACCAATTCCGGGTCTTTTTGAAGTTACACCATTAAATTATACAATGCATTCATCAAATGATGGTACACGTCTTGAACGTGTCGATATAACACATCTATTAACTTTACGAACATATGAAGCAACAAGTGCACCACCACCACCTAATGTTACATTTGGTACTGGTTCTCATCATCTCTATCATCCAACAACATCAAGTTCAATACCTCCTCCACCACTTCCACCAGCCATATCAACATTTAATTCATCAAATACATTTCCATTTTCATTTCCGCCACCAAATATAAATACATATTATGATACACTTTATATGTTACCATCAACTACAAATTCAACTACAACAACAGCAAATAATGAGCCAACACCAGCAATTGTTGCGTCATTTCCTGTTACAACAGCAAATACAACAACAATGGATCATGGAATAAATAATAATTTCATAACACCACCATGGTTACCACATTTAGCATCAAAATTTAAAGATAAACAAGGTTTACAAAAAGAAAAATTAAAATTAATTGCAAAAAAAAATAAAGCTGCTGCAGCACAATCATCAATGTTGAAAAAAAATTCAGCATTATTTAATGATCTTATTCCATCATCAAAATCACCATCATCATTATCAACAACAACAACAGCAACATCATCAACAATTCATAATCAACCAATTTATTCATCAAATACAAATTTATCAGCAGATAAAAATCGTTCAGATGATGAAAATCTTGATCAACAATCAGCATCAACAACAGCTACATTTGATGATATATTAGCACAAATATCAAATAATATTGTTCAAGGACAATATTTACCATTGTATCAATTTGTAATTGATCGTTTATCAGGTGGTGGACGAAGTCATTTTATTTTAGATTTTGGACAACAAGTTACATTAACTGATATATTAATTCCATCATGTCAAGAATTAGCTTCAATAAGTTTAGATTTTTGGTCACATGCTGAACATATTGATTGTCAACGTTTATTTTCTTCGACACATATATCAAATCAACCATTTTTTCTACATGATTTACAACCACCAATTATAGCACGATATTTACGTATTACATTAATTGGACAATCAAATATATCTGTATCATCAATACGTTTACCTGTTGGATATTTTTTTGGCTATCCATATATATTAAATGATGATAATGAAAATCTTTCGAATAATTATGAAAAATATCATAATAAATTACAAGTTATTGAAGGTGTTTATGAAACATTAATATCAAATTATGCATTATGTAGACAAAAATTATTTAATTTATTATCGTCAACAAGTAATATTGAAAAAACGTTTCTTGAAAAAATCTATCGAGAATGTATTCATTTACAAATACAAATTAATCAAGCAAGTCGACAAATTCAACAATGTAAACAAATGTTAAAAATTGAATCTGCACAAATTAATAATCAACAACCAACAAGTGATTATTTAAAATTATTAGCAGATTTATTAACAAGTGAATTAACATCTCTATCAGGAATAATGCAACATACAAATAGGTAAATATTTAGGCATTGTCAAGAAATCCGGAAAAAATATTATTAGTCATAGAAGACACAAGAAGTGAATGGCGCGGACATATTAGAGAGGGAGCTTAGTTCTTCGAAGCCACCAGTAGTGAGAGTCCATCGAGACGATCGCTGTCGTCGTTGTAGCAGACGATGTTCAGAGTGAGGATGCCGATGGGTGTGAGTGAGTGGGTGAGGGTGAGGATGTGGATGGGTGTGAGTGGGTGAGTGAGGGTGAGTGTCGGTGTAGATGTATAGATATGAAATACTCTTCCACACCAACGCCCACTCAGACTCACACACGCGCCCACATTCTCACCCACCCACATCCTCAAGATTTTTTCCTTCGGATTTTTCATTTCCGGATTACTTGACATATTCAATATGTAAATCAATTTCGTTTTTATTTTTAAGTTCACCTTCACCATCATTTATATCGTTGGAACAAGCTCTTTCAATATTTGATACATTTGCTATACGTCATGTACAAATAATTGATATGCCAAAACGTTTATTACAATTATGTTCTTATCATTCATGGTGGCCTGAATTTGTTAAAGAATGTTTTCAACGTTATTTTCTTTCGAATGACATGTTAACAATTGATCAACAACAATCATTATTTATAAATCTTGTTGATTTATGTGAACAAACATTATTAACAATAAATTCATCAAGTGATTCATTAATATCCTATAATCGTTTATTAGCTATTGAATATTTAAATCATATTTATAATTTATTATTAAATACAAATAAAACTTTTCAATCAATTGAGTGGTTATTATTATTTTTATATCGTTTATCTGAAAAAAATTTATTTCCATATTATTATGAACAAATAAATAAGAAAAGTAATTTTTCACAATTAATTAATAAACATTGGCAATTTTTACATACATCATCTATAAATCAAAGTCCACGTTTAATGAATCCAACAAATAACTATCGTCGAAAATTACGTAAAGAAACCTTATTGAAAAAATCAACAAAATCATCCTCATCATCATCATCATCATCAAATCCAATTCAAACATCATCAATTATTATTTCACAATCAAATTCAATTGATTATTTTTGTCATCGTACATTAGTCTTAAATGTTTGTCAATATCTCCTTGATATATTAATATCACACAAAAATCTATCCAATGAATTATTTATATTAATATGTAAATCATTATCTGATATAAGTCGTTCATGTAAACCATTATTATTATTAAATGAATGTATAACAAAAGATAATTTAATAAAATTAATATTTAATAATCAACAAGTATGGATAAAACATGCATTAATTTATTTCCTTATTGATTTTGTTGATAATGAAATCTATTTACCCAATGAAATTTATGATACTAATAATACAATAAATAATAATAATAATACTACGAATGATGATGATGATGATTTAGATATTGATAATGATGAAGATGAATGGATAAATAAGAAAAAACATTTTCCAGCATTTAAAAAATTAAAAAAAAAATTTCATGCAACTGATCAAGATATTTTATATCCAACAACGGATGATTTCTTATTTTTATTAACACAATCATCATCATTTCAACAAACACAAAATCAACAATATCAACAACAACAACAACAATATTTAAATTTAAATTCCAAACCAAATTATGATATTATCCCATTTTCAATTGATAATCGTCTTGATGGAAATATTCAATTTATATTTGATTTATTTACAATAAATCAATCATATAAAATTCAACGTTTATTAAATAAAAATTTATTTCTTCGTAATCAATATACAATTGAATATGATTTAAATTTAAAAACAAATTATACAAATCAATATGAAACAAAGAAATATTTTTCTCAAACAACAATTGATTTATTAAATGAAATATTTCAAAATATGTTATGTCAATTAATTGATCAACAAGAAAAATATGAATTATTTGATAATATTGAACATTTATTATCATCATATTTAATTATTTCATTAGCGAATTACTCGAAAAATTTTAATAATAAACAACAAATATCATCACAACAAACAGAAACAACAATTAATACAAATCAACCACCAATAAATATTAATTTAAAACCATTGTTTCTTATGTCTATTGATACATTAGATAAATTATTAATATTTTTATTGAATTCATCTTTAGTAACAATACGTTTATGGCATCATTTATTTTCTTTATTATATTATACAAGTACAAATATTGATTTAGCTAATCAAATGAAACAAAAATGGTTTCAAGGTAATATTGAAAATAGTTTATTTGCACAAATTTGGTTGAAATTTATTCAAACGACACATGAAATGATTGATGAAAGTACGGTTGATATTATTATTAATTATTTTGAAAGATTATTTATGTGTGATCAAGATAATGGAAATATGCCGGAAAATATTAAATTAACAAAAAGAACAGCTACATCAGGTTAGTTTCCTCATATATATTAGAAAGACATTTTTATAAAATTATTTCTTTTTAGATGATTCAAGTCAACCGCAAGCAGCAACATCATCAACACCTTCTCCATCGAATTTAAATCGTCTCTATCTCAATACCCTTCTTTCTCTTCTTAATCGTCTGATTATCAATGGTTTTCATGGACCGTTTAATTGTCATTTAAAATTTCTTACTTATCTTTTTAAACAAAATTTTTCTGAAGCAACATCATCAATTCGTTTAACACTTTGCCGTAATATAATCGATTTTGTTTGGTCATTTTGTTATTCCTATTCTCCACTATCATTTACTTTAACTGATATACATCCACTAATATGTTTTCTTAACTATGATCGTATTCATTATCATCGTCAATCAGCATCATCGACAACTTCAATGAATCCTTCAACATCATCATCGATTAATAAATGGCAATTAATGAATACAGTTAATAAATTTTCTTTACAAAATAATCAATCATCACCACCAACATCAACAACAAATGATCCAACAACAACAACAAAATCTACACCAGTACGTCGTCAAAGTAATTTACGTGACATATGTGTTCGACAAATGATTTTATTAATAACAAAATTAATGGAAAATTCAACTCAATCACATGATCAACAACGTAAACGTTTTAAATTTGAACAAGGTGATAATAAAGAAATTCTTGATATTGATGATGAAGATTCCGATGATACACTTGAATCAATCTATATTGAAAAACTTCTTTCAATACTTTCAACATGTCATTCAGCACTTGATTCATCACCATCAATACCATTAAATTCCTCAACAAAATTTCTTGCTGCATCATCAACATCAACAAATAATCATTCATCATTTATTCATACAACAATACGTTTAAATCTAAATGATTTACTTTCCGTTGGTGATAGTATTTATTATTGTTTATCATCATTTTTATCACAACCAAATTATCTTTTACCAATACTTTGTCATTATCTAACAACAAATCCATTATTATCATCACCATTATTATTATTTATTATTTATTCATTACATAATCCACAAAATCTATCTGATATATTAAATCAATATAAATTTCTTGATCTATTAGTTAATAATTTAATTTCATTTTCGAATCATTTATCAAATCAAACACAAATACCATCTATTCAACGTATCTATGATCAACGACAATCATTAAATAATAATACAATGGATATTGGTTCAATTAATCTCGCACCACAATGTCAAATAACATGTTCAAATCCAAATGCAACATCACCGGAAATATTAATTCAATCAAATAATAATCTTCAAACAACACTACCATCATCATCTCGTCGTCTTCGTTCACCACCATGGTCATATACATATCCGCCTAACGAACGATCATGTACATTAACACTTAATTTTCCATATTCAATTATATTAAAATCTATTCAAATAATAACATTTACTCAATTATCTGTTAATCATTATACAATAATTGATCATTTAAATACGAACCTAAGTCAATGTCCATCATCCATAACATGTGAAATATCCTCCGATGGTTATTATTTCATTCCATGTGCGTATTTATTAAATACACAAGGACAACAAATAATAAATCTATCATTAACAAAACAAATTGATATTGTTAGACAATTACGTATACATTTTTCAAAACCAATTGATCATGATACAATTGGTTTACAACAAATATTAATCTATGGATATTATTCCTATGATCAACAGATGATTATTGAACAAAATAGTCAACCCTATCAAACATTAATATCAACTGTATATGGTAAACAAATAACACATAATAAAATTCAAACAAATTCATCCATTGTAACAACATTAAATGATGATGATTTTAAATTAATGTATTCATCAATAAAATCATCATCAATGAATACACAATCAATTGATAATAGTCATCAAGTATCGATGATCCTAGCTGATAAATATCGTTCATTCAATCATTATTTACAATTAATACATTTATGTTTAAAAACACCATTGAATATATCGGATAATTTATTTGAAAAATTTCTTTATTTTCTTGAAAAAAAGTTTTTATTAATTAATGATTGGATATTTAATGAAATATTTATTTATCTTGGTAATCATTGTACAAATAAACAATTTGAAATCTTTATTAAATATTTAATAAATTATAATCATACAAAAATATTATCGGAATTAAATTTTAATGAAATTAATATCAATTATTTAATAAATAATTTACAAAATTCATTAATTAATCAACAAATAATACGAAATATTTTTTGGAAAATTAAAGAAGATAATATTAATCTTGATGAAAATTTATTAGAATATTTAATGATAAACTATATATGGTTATTACCATCGATAGCACATCATAAACCATTATTAGTTATAAAAAATTATTTTCATAAAATCGATTCCTATATTGAATATTTTAAACAATTAAAAATCTGTTCATTAAGTGTGGAATTTCTTAATGAAATATTAAATAATGATTTATATTTACAATCAATTGAAGAATTAAATCAACAAATTCAATCGATATCATTAATGAAATCAGATGATTTAATTATTTATCATGCTTTGGATTATTTAATATCGATAAGTAAATATTCAAATGTACAAATATGGTTTTCTCAAACAATAAATGCATCGAATATATGGAAGAAATTACTTGATTTATTTATTAATCCACAATTATCATTATTTATACAATCGCCATCAATATTATTAACACAATTGATAACTTTATTAAGAAATTTATCTATACAATGTCCAACAAATCAAATAAATATGTCATTAATTGCATCCTATTTAGCTTATTTAACTGAACAACGTCTTGAACATGATCAACCATTAACTGGTTTTCTTCAATATATATTAAGTGAAGTTGTACTTAAACATGAATATATACAATGTTTGATAAATACAAGAGATTATCCAATACATACGAAAGAATATTCAACATTTCAAAGAAATTCACTTTATCATAGATTAATACAAGATTGTCCAATATCAATGAATATAGGACAATTAATTGAGAAATTATTTGGTTTCAATTATTTACAAGCAAATATATGGACAGCGACGAATTATATAAAAAATAAAAGTTTTTTAATTAAAGCATCAAGTGAACCAATTAATAGTAATCATAGAAGAAAAATTTTACGAGCTGAATTAGTTTCATTAAGATCAACAATTGGTGGAAAATTAACAACAAAATCAATAAGTTCATTAGCAAATTTAGCTAAACATTATCATAAATCTACTTCATCATCAAAATCAACAAATAATGAATCATCATCATCATCGTCATCAACAACAAAAAAGAGTTCTTCGTCATCCTCATCATCACCTGTGGAAAATGTACATTTTATTTTACATATTAATGGACAAAAGAAACAATGTATTTTGCCGAAAACAACTCGACTTAGTGATTTATTATTATCATTTGATTGTCGATCATTAAATACATATGAAGTTGATGTTATTGAAATGACTTTTGATAATCATATTATACTCAATGATGGACAGGTAAGATACATAAAAAAGAGATTAAACGGAATTTATAGTCTCATGGTTTCTTTCTTCTGTAAGATTAAAGTCTCTAGTTCATGTACGAAATACTTAGATGCAAACAGTGTTTTTATCTAGTTTTCGTTTTTTCCGGTGGGCAGACCGAATTTTAGGATGGGCAGCGCCCACCCAGCCCACTCACAGGATAAAACACTGGAGCCAGATAGATTGCATGACTTATTTAGACAATTTCGAGTATTTCACGTATTCTGTTCAAGATCCAGTAAAATTTTGTAATAGATTGAGATGAAAAAATAATGCAGAGTAAATTAAATAGATCCGAAATTCGTATCAATTCTAGATTGATCCACACTTTTAAAACTGTATGTTAAGCAGATCTACCGTCAAAAATGTTTTTATAAATCTCGAAAACTCCATATTCTCGAATATTTCATATTATTAATGTATAAACTATGTCTAACGATATAATTACTCAATAAATTTGATTCAGTTGAAACTCACTATTTTTTCTCTTTAGGAAAAAGATTTAATAACTCAAAAATCGATTGTTTCCAATAAAGACTATCCGACATTACTCGATACTTTTGTTCATGCAAATGGTCTTAAAATACTTGCTCAACATTTTGCTCGTAATTATCCATCGATACAATCATATGATGAATGTATTACATCATCATCAGCATCATCATCAACGGCAAATGTTTTCGATAAAATAAATTTCTTTGATTTCTCATCATTAGTCTCATCATCTTCATCATCAAATACTTCAGCTAATATGACAATGCCCTATTATGTATTTATAACATTTTCAATATTTCTTCGTTTACCAAATTATGCACGTGCTATGTTAAAAAATCGTTCACTAGCATGTAATATAATTCGTTTAATGCTTGGACAAAAAGAATCAATTTTAAATGAATATCAAGATCAAACACAACAGCAACATCAAGATAATTTCGATATGAGACAAATCTCCAAATTACCATTTGAAACATTATCAATTTTACTTAAAGATTCTCCTGATGATTTATTAGATGAAATATTACATTCAAGTATTCTTCTTCTATTACTTTCATGTTTATCATCTATAACACGTCATCCACATCGTAAACAAAAAGATTCTTCATCAACAACACAAATTCCATCATTGTCTATTGTACCACCACCAACACAATCATCAATAAATCATGAATCAATTATGGATGATAATGATGATGAATATTATGAAGATGATATTGAACAAATTGAATCATCAACAATTCAACAATTAAATACAATAAATAATAGTAATAATCAGACAAATTCAACAAATACAAATCCAAGTTTTTGGGCTAAAGGTACTGGATTTGGTACTGGTTCAACTCATTCACAATGGAAACCAGATGAAATTTTACAAATCCAAAAACTGCATGAAGAACATGTGATTTATTTATTTGATATATTTCATTCAATATTTTCAAATAAATTATCTGAAGATCTTCTTGATGAACATTTAATTGAAATAATCAATACATCATGTCTTATTCCTGTACTTGAATCATATTTACGTAATGATTCAATATTAGATTTATCTAAACAAGGTGATATACATCGTTATTGTTTACGTTTAGTTTATTGTTTATTAAATAATAAGAAATTAAAAAATTTAATTTATCAAACAAGTAATATTGAATATTTAATTGAAAATCTTTTACAATGTGTACAAACATATACATCAATGATACAAATTGATGATGATGAACAATTAACATTATTTTCAGTTGAATTAAAACAAGTTTATGATAAAATCAAAGAAGAACAACAAATTGATAAAGAAACAAATAATGATCTAAATGATTTCAAAACTAATAAAGAATTAGTAACATTAGAAGAATTTTATTGTCAAACAATGAAATTATTACAATTTAGTACATATCCAATAACAATTGAAAATGAATCAGGTGAAAAAGTTTTATTTAATAAAACAATGAAATATCATTATGAAGATATTGTACGTGATGCATTAACAATTAATTCTATGCAAAGAATAAAACGTTTAGCACAAGAACAAATAACAATATCAACATCATTACCATTATCATTTAGTTCAACATTATTTGTACGTTCAGATGAAAATCGTATGGATATTATGAAAGTATTAATAACAGGTCCTGATGGTACACCATATTCAAATGGATGTTTTCTATTCGATGTTTATTTTCCAAATGAATATCCAACATCACCACCATCAATTAATTTAGAAACAACAGGAAATCATACAGTTAGATTTAATCCAAATTTATATAATGATGGTAAAGTTTGTTTAAGTATATTAAATACATGGCATGGTAGACCAGAGGAAAAATGGAATACAACATCAACATTTTTACAAGTAAAATTTTGATTTTATAGAATAAGAAAAAAAATGATTTGGTTGGTTTTTTGTTCTAGGTTCTTGTTTCTATTCAATCTCTTATTTTTGTGCCTGAACCTTATTTTAATGAACCTGGTTATGAACGTACACGTGGTACAGCTACTGGTACTGCTCAATCACTTGAATATGATGCCAATATTAGACAAGCAACAGTTCGATGGGCAATGCTTGAACAGTTACGAAATCCACCTGCCTGTTTTACTGATGTTATACGACGATATTTCTTTTTAAAACGAAGTAAATATATTGTTGTAAACTAATGACTTACGAGGGAGCATACCCAACTATCGGGCGCCATTCGAGCCCATATTTTGGCTACAAGTAGCACTGACTGAGACTAAGAAAAGGGTTCGTGCCAATGGTATGTTCCTGATGAGATATCAAGTTTTTAGCAAACTTTCACTATAGCACTCCACTTTTGCCTTGAAACTTTGCCTACATAAATATCTCAGTTAGACTGGCTTGTATAAAAAGTTTCAGAAGTTTCAGACAAAGTCTCTCCGAGCTATAGAACTAGCAAAACACAGGTCTTTTTTCATAGATAGTACATATGGCATGCATTTTTTGAAACCTTGTTATTTCAAAAAAGACTCTGTTCAAAACTTCTGAAGGTGTTTATACGGGTAAAGTTTCATGGCAAAAGTAGGGTGCTATAGCCGAAGTTCACTAGAAACTTGATATCTCATCAGAAATATGACATGGGCACGAACCCTTTTAAAGTTTCCTTACTCGCACTAAGTCCTACTTGTAGCCAAAATATGGGCTCGAATGGCGCCCGATAAGTTGAGTATGTTCTCTCGTTAGTCTTACTGAAATGTTTTTTTTTAATTTCATTATTATAATTATTTTTTCTTCTGCTAGATGAAATTATTGACCAATGTGAAGCATGGATACGTGAATTACAAGAAATATCATCGACAGAAAAACGTGTAATGTCGTCGATAAGTCAACACCTTTCATCCCTTATTCGCCATACAAATGATCTGAAAAAAGAATTTGCTCGTTTAACGCCACCTGATGATTTTACAATTCCACCTGAATTATCATCATTTTTACTTAAAACATCAATAAGTAGTAATGTAACAACAGATCAAGTTGCGCCTTCTTCTAGTTCATCAGTAACAACAACAACAATTATTACTATTCCACCAAATTCGGATACAAATCAAACATCAGAACATACAACAACTTCATCATCAACTGACGAACATTCAATTCAAATTAAAATAGTACCTAATCTTCAATATCAATCATCTACAACATCAACTACAGCTGCAACGATTGCATCGCCAGCAACATTAATCGATCAAGATATTCAACAAACATCAAATTCATCAATTGATCAATTTGAACAACAACAAAATCAATCACCATCAACAAATACAAATACATATGATATAACTATAACACATTCAAATAGTTTACTTTCAGATTGGACAACAACTGATACACCAAGTGTTCCATTAGCTGATGATGGACTTATTTATGATGATTTACTTGATGATGAAGATGATATGGATGATGATTTAGATGTTGAAGATATGCTTGAATATGAAGGTGATATTCCTGAAGGTTATCCGGAAGATTTCTATTGACTTCTTTATCTGTGAAAGTGCCGAGTGACTCATTCATTGATATTTATGTTCATTTTCTTTTTCTCCTGTATGTATGCTTGATTCTCAAAAACAAAAAAATTTCTTTTTTTTTCTTTTTCTTTTTTTTCTATTATTGTATTCGTGTATTTTGATTAACTTGTGTTATCATCAAAGTAAACAAATTCTAACACTAGATAACAAAATGCAAAAGAATAACAATATAAATCGGTATTTTTTTTATTTAATAAACAACACTAAAAACGATAATAAAGATGTATTTAATTGAATTCAAAGATGATGAAGACATTTCTTTTTCATTGTAGATACGTGTTTAGATAAAGATTGAATGATACGATTGAGAAAGGTAAGAAATTAATTTTTGTATTTGATAAGTAGAAAAATTCGAGCATTATATTGATAAATCATATTATTTAAAGTAAAATTTAGCCCTCACCTAAGAAATAGACGACCATTCCGTATATATATATATGGCCATGGTCTTTTATTCTGGAGAGGGGTTATTAGAGAGTAGGGATGTACCGAGCCCAAGCCTCTAGGGCTCGGATGTCAGAATGGGTGTGGGTTAGAGTGCGGGTGAAAAGGATAGTACCCGCACGCGCCACACTCACACTCTCACCCACACCCATCCTCACACCCGAGCCCTGACCGATCCCGAACCAGAAGAAAATAATATTAAGACTAAAAATAATTATTATACTTTCATAATAAGATTTGTTATCTGTATTAATTATTCAGGTTTCTCTGGTGAACGACGTCCGTAAAAATCGTACTCCACTTTTTTATTGGTCTATTAGTGCTGGTTTTATTACAACTGTATCGTTTATTACTTTTGGTTATTTTCTTTAGTAAGTTAAATTTACAAACTAAATAATTATTTAAATATTCTTTTCTTTAAAGTTCTTATCGTATAAAACAAAGAACTAAAGAAGGTATTCAAAAAGGTCAAGTAGATCGTATTATTCATCCTCAAGGTTTAAATAGTCAAGGTAAATTTGATTGATTTGTTTTTTTATATTGAAATATATTTTGTTTTTAATTAGAAATACAAAAAGGAATTGCTTTACTTGAAAAACAACAACTTCACGATCAAATTCAACTTGATAATTACGAACGATATAAAAGATTACGTGATAAACGACGTGAACAAGAAGGTCTTAGTTAAAAAAATAATAAAAAATATGTTTACAAATTCCACAAAAAAAGTTTCTAATGATCATGTTAATCATATTGTTCAATCGATTTTAAATAAACGACAACGAAATGTACTTGAACAACAACAAACATTTATACGAAGAAATACAGATGAAAATAATAAAAGAAATAATTCTCTTATTGACAAATTTACAATAAAAAAACCAACAAAGTTTGCGAAAAATTTCTTTTTATATTAAACTCTTTTTATTTTATGTATAGTTCATCAAAAGAGAATGTTATTAGTAATCCAATAATACCAAAAAAGAAAACTATAGTTGAGATTAATAATGATGATGACGATGATGATTTTGTCTCAATAAAAAAACCTCCCAAAATTATTAAACCATCAAAAATAGATTCTAATATTATAAAAACAGATTCTAATATCATAAAAACTGATCCAATTAAAGAATGTCTTGAATCAATTATTTTACAAATTGAAAATAATGAAGCAACATGTCCTATTTGTAATCAAGTTTTATCATATTTAACTACTATTGATCAACGTCAACAACATGTCAATCGATGTTTAGAAGAATCTCAAATTAATAATGTATGTCAATATTAGTTTCAAAGGAATAAATCTTTAGAACTCTTTTCACTGACACAATCGATGAATATCTCAGTTAGCCTTCAAATATGTTCCACCAATTTTCATGAGTTTGTCAAATGAAGTGCATACCTATCTCTCGTTTGATTCGTATACTCTCCGTGTTTCCACTGTATCTTCTTAGATCTCATGTGTTAACTGTATTCGTACGTCCTTTCGCTCTATAAATGTAAGATTTTCGCCAATATATTTATAGGAAGTTCGCCGGTGTCATTATGTGATTACATATGTATAAAAATAGCTTCTAGTAACGATATTGAGGCGTGTAGACTGTAATATGCTTATTGTGATAATATTCGATTAATTTCTCACATACATTGTACAGTAATCCCGTCGTATTACAGTTGGTGAAAACCTACTGCACTTACGCCAATCGCGCCTAAACTTTCGCTAATTGGCCAATGTCCATTGTAGTTTATTAGAATGTTTTTCACCAAAAATGTAGTATATATTTAACAGTAAGTGTTTCAGAGATACATCCGTAGACAGGTACACATTATTTTATCGAAATCTCTGTAGTATATTTGATCGCCTTCTGCAGTTAGTATCATACACATCTACTGGATATTGGATAACTTGAAAAATATTCACAGATGTTTTCTTATATAGATTGAAACAAAGCATCAAAAATCATTATTATCTTATACAAAATTTTCATCTACTATTCGAAAACCAATATCATCAACAGTATCATTAAATTTTAAATGTCAAATTTGTGGAATGTCATTCAATGTTAAACGCACTTATTTATCTCACCTTAAAAAATGTTCAAATCAAAATAGTATTCAACTAAAACATGTTGTTAATTTTGCGGCTAAAACAACAACAATAACAACTAATGAACCTCAACCTATCACAACAGTAAAGAAAAAGACAGTAACAAATATTAAAAATCGAATTATTAAAATGGAAGTACCTATAACTGAAGATGATGAACAACAACAACTAGTAATATTTATACATAAAAGAAAATATTAAATTTCAAGACATTTTTTTTAATTTAAGGCAATTGCACTTTCAGCGTCGATTAAAACAGCTACAGAACCTCCCAATGCTTTCGATATTCTTCAAGCAGCATCAAAAAAAATTAAAACAATAGAGTAATTTTTATTTCTATTCTATTAATTCTATTATTTCCTTATTTTAATTTAGTTTATTAACAACACCACTTTGGAATGTCTCAATTGATGAAAAATTAAAACTATGCTCAACACGTGTATCTAATATTTGTGAACGTCTGATTACTATTGATTCTTCAGCAAATTCATATAAATTTCCTCCTAGTTCATTATTATTTATATCCCAAACTAATTTCGGTCATGTCAATTGGTGGAATATAACAACAACAGATCCTCAAGATGATGAAGTATAAAATAATATTATTTTTCATTTTTTTAGAATTTTTATTTCTTTCTTTTCAGATTCCAATGACGCAACTAGCTCGATTACTTGAAGATAACGAATCCTGAATCTATTTTTCTTTGTGTGTGTGTGTATTTTTTTTGCAGAGAATAAAAAAGAACTTAGGATAATTTAGCCAAGAAAAAACAAGAAAAAAAAGTAAACATATCATTCTGTTTTTGTATTGAAGATGATGATGATCACGGATCTTAATCAAGATAATGATGATAGTGATAGTGATCGAACAGAAAGTTATACACCACCACCACTGGATATAACAAATGATTTAAATAATAGTAGTGAAAAAGAAAATAATCTAAAAGAATTTCGTACAATTAAAGAACAATCAATTATAGTATTAGATGATAGTTTTAATCAAGTAAATATTTCAACACAAAATCATGAACAAAGTATTTGTTTTTTTCTTTGAAATTTAAAATATAATTTTTATTTTAATAGTAGATAATTATTGGGATCAATGGCCCATGATTAACAACGAAATAGATGATGATGAACATTTAAAACTTTATTCAATACCTGATATCGATATTCCTCCTTCTCCACCAACAACACAAAAACAGACTTTTACAACTACTGAAACGAATATTCTTGATATTTTAACACAACCTTTATCATTATCAAAAATTAGAAATTCTCCAATAAAAAAACCAATTACAAAACGAAAGAAAAAAAAGAAACCAATATCGGAATATCGACCACCATCACCATTTTCACCTAAACCTGATTATAAATCAATGAATATTGAACAAATAAAAAAACACGCAATGAAATATGGTCTATCAACAAGTCTATCAAAAACACGACTTATTAAAGTTCTTGATGAAATTTATAATGTTACACATCAATATGAAACTGATACAGATTATGAATATGATCCTAATGATATTGATCTTCCAAATGTTATATCAGATAAGAAAGATTTATCTCATACTCCACCAACGCCAGCAATTGTTTCTAATATAAAAAAAGCAAAAAAACGACCAGCTGTTCATCAAATGAGTTCTTCCGATGATATCGATGAACATTCGCCACCACCCGCAAAAAAACGAAGTCCAATAACAACAGCAGATAATCATAATGATGAAGATATTACTGATCATGAAGGTCGTTTTCTTGAACTTACAGTTTATGAACTTTCATCAACAACAGCATCATCATCATCTAGTTCTTTATCAATTATTGAAACTCCGCCTAATCAACATTCAAGACGTAAATTTCTCTTTGGAATTTCATACATTTGATCATTTCTTTTTTCTCTTTAGCATCTTCCAATGAGAATTCTGCTCAATCGAATGTAACTAAAAAATCTCCATTAAAATCAACAACACCCACATTAACAACTGATTCTGAAAAAAAACCATCGAAAAAAAAAGCTTCAAAAAAACCTAAACTTGAAACTCCAACAATACCATTAAAAGATATCGTTCGTAGTTATATTGAATCAAATTCAACATTACATGCTCGTGTACTTTGTTATGAACCAATTGATTTCGAAGAATTTCATAAACAAATTAAAATTGATCTTAATCTCAAAATTGTATCGAAAGATTTAATGAAATGTCTCGATGATCAATGTATTACATTCACATTACGTTCAAAGAAAGGCGCTTTTACCAGTGTGATGAGAGCTAAACGACGCAAATAAAGAATTTCTTTTCTGTCTTCTTCAATTAAATCTAGTCTTAATAAAATGAACATTTTTTTTCAGATGTCTAATACACTATCAACAACAACAACAACAACAAAGAAAGAAAAAAATGAAGAACAAGTTGAACTTGAACAACAATTTGTTCTTCGAATGCCACCCGTATGTTATTTTAATTTTATTTTCTTATTTATTTATTTATTTATTTTTAAGGGTGATTTTGCAACACGATTAAGTGAATTAATTGAATCAGGCGATGAAAAAATTCGTGAACGTCTTTTTATTGATGTAAATCCTGAAACAAGACGTGGTCGTGTAAGATTCGATGATACTATTTTTAAAGCTACACTTTATGATTTACCTTGTGTGACAGAATCATATAAAACATTTGATAGAAAAACTTTATATAAAATTGCTGATATTGCTCAAGTTCTTATTTGTCGATTACCTGGAGATCTTAGTTCAAGTGATGATGATGATGATGAAGATGAAGCAATGAAACGATCAAATAATAATGCAACAACATCTGATGGGGGAAATGAGAAGAAAAAGAAAGAAAAAGATAAAGAAAAAAAATATCAATGGCCACATGGATGTATGTTTTTGTCTATTTGAATAACTACCATGATATTATTATTTCACAAATTTAGTAACACCACCATTGAAAAATGTACGTAAACGACGTTTTCGTAAAGTTGCTCGACAAAAAACTCAAGATCATGATGAAATTGAGAAAGAAGTACGACGTTTATTTCGGTAATATTATGATTATTTTTAAGTAATAAATACGAAAATGAATTGTTGGTTTTTTTTTCTAGAGCTGATAATGAAGCAATTGATGTTAAATGGGAAGTTATTGATGATGATCAAGAAGTTGAAGTTCATAAACAAATAGATAAAGATCCATTTGGTATGAAGAAAATATTTATTTTTGTTTAAATAATTTATTTTTATTTTTTAAGAACATAATGATCTATTTGGTGGTGCTGTTAGTGAATCAGATGAAGAAGAAACATCACAGAAAGGTTAGTAAATAACATATAGTTATTAGGATTCTAAAAAATATTGAGTATTAATCGAACTGCGAAGAAGTTACTTCGATGTTTTCAGAATGAGAATAGTTTTTTCGATAGCATCAAACTCTTAATGATTAATATAGATACGCTTTTTTACAAAAAATTTCAGAAATTTCGCTTAATAACCTGGTAATTGCAATCGAAACTTTTCTAAATTCTAACTGCTACACTAAAACTCACGTATTTTGTAACAGAAGACTTTGAGATATCTTTCTACGATAAAAAGCCACCTTTGTAATCTTTCGAATAACTTGGGAATCTTTAAATCAACAAAATAACTATTTATAATATAGATATATCCAGTCATCATCGCCACCATCATCATCATCATACTTCAAATTCTGTTGATCAACGAATGGATTTCGATGGTTTATTTAGTGGTGATATGGGTGAATTAAGTAATATGGATACAACATCTCAAGTAAATCCAATTGAAGATGATAATATCGATCAATCTCAATGGACACAACAAGATGATTTAAATCTTGATGATAATACTACAAATGATGGCCTATCTGATGAAATACGAACAAAATTAGAAGAACGTCAAAATGAATTAGATCGTTTACAAAACGAAAAAAGTAATCTTGATAATCAATTAGCGCAAATGACAAATGCTGCACTTCGAGTAAATATCTTTTTTTTGTTTATTGAAAAAAAATATATATATATTGTTTTTATTAGAATGTTTTATTAACAAAAATAAATTCAATTGAAACCGAAATAGAACGTGCACAACTTGAGGTTTGTTTCTCGTTTATTTTTATAAATGTAATTTAATTATTTTTTTTCCCTTTTTCTAGTATGAACACTTATTAAATATGTAACAAATTGAACATTTTTTCTTTCACTATTTGTACATAAATAAAATAAAAACAAAAAACGACAAAAGATTCATTATGTATTTGTCATAATTTCTTTCAGAATTGTTTTGAAATTGTCACTAAATGAATCTGAATGTGTTGTAAATGTTCGTTTAAGTTGATGAATCTCAATTTGTGATGAATTTTGTTTTGTAACAAGTGCAAATGCTGTTTCAGCTTGACTACTTATTGATAGAATAAAATGACTAAGACTAAAAGAGAAAAAAAGGTAAATTTGTGTTTTGCAGAAAATTAGTTTTACTTTTCTATTTTAACATTTCCTAATGGTTGATATAAATCTTTTGTTAAATCCCAATATTTAATATGACCTTGTGAATCATGTGCAAAAAAGATACTTGCTCGCCCTGTAGACCAATTACAACTACGAACAGTTGCTGATGAACGAAATGCTTGTGACCAAGTTAAAATTGGTTCATCTGAAGAGGAGATTGTTATTTTAAACAAAGAAAATCGAAAAAAATTTTTTATCTTACCTCGTCCAGTGGTATATAAATGTAATTGACCATGGCCAGTACCCACAAGTAATAATTTATTTACCATTGGATTAAATGATAAACAAGTTACTTCTATTTGTGCTTCTAAAACGACAGAAAACTAAATTATGTTAATTATTGTCATATTCCTACCTAAATCTGTTGATACTCGAAGTTTTGATGGTGAACCCATTTCTCCATATCTTGTCATATGATAAACAGCATTCTAAAATCGAAAGAAATTCATATATTTTTTTTTCAATTAAAAAATTAAATATCAATATTCATACCGCATTACTAGCTACATAAAGATTGTCAACATCATTTATTGGACATGATAAATCAAATGCTTGAATTGAATCTCTAAATGAAAAATTCTCAATAAATCTTTTCCAATTAACATTTATATTCTAACTTAGCCATATATATTGATTGTTTTATTTGCATTGATGATGTTTGTATCATTCGAACTCTTCCACCTGGTTTAAGACCTAAATCAGCAATTGATCCAGCTTCATCTGATTGAGTTAATTCAATCACCGACTAAATTAAATAAAGAATTTTGTTTTTTAAACAAAAAAAATATCTTCATTTTTACCCAAATTATAATTAACCCATTTTTGTCCAATGATGCCAACGAAAATGAACTACTCGATCGATCATTATTATTTGTCACACTTAAAAAATAAAAAATTTTATTTAAAATAAATTGTTAAGAAAATCTCTTTTACTTTGTTGTTTGCAAAGGTAACACTCGAATTACTTCACTATAATGACGTTCATTAAATTGAATATTTGCTAAATAAATAAAAAGACAACTTGTTTTTCATTTTTATCTATTAATTTACCAGTAGAGAATGTTGGACTACTTGGTATTGGTTCTTGTGAATCAGTTTTATATTTAGTTGGCTCACTTGTATCAAATAAAACAATCGAACCATCATGCTATATACAAAACAAAACCGAATATTAATTTTCACGAGAAACAAAAATTAAATATTTTTGTTTACACATCCAGCAAATAAATAAACCATCGAAGATGAACAACAACGAACAGATGCTTCACAGTTTAATAATTTCAATGGTTTGTCTGGATTCCGCACATTATAAATTGCACCATAACTTGTTGTATAGATCTAAACAATGAGGAATTGTCTTCGTTTTAGAATAATCAAAGATTTTAACAAACTTGTTCATAAAAAACTGCAACTTGTTCAGGTTTGTCTTGACAAAAACAAACAGCAGCAATTGATATATCTATAATAATAATAAATTCCAATCAAAAATCTTCTTTTTTTTTTGTTTTTCTTACCTGATTTAAATGAAAGACCTGGAAGAATAGTAAGTCCAGATGAAAAATTTAAATCAGATTCACGTTGCATTCCATCTTGTTCATCATTATCTTTTGATCGTTTTGAATTTGATTTAGTCGAAGTTGTTTGTTGTTCATCGAGTAATGCAAGCATAAGCTTTAAAAACAAATGAATTATTTTATATGAAAATTAATTTTTCTTTTTCTCTAACTTTTCCTGCATTCGTAACAAATGTTTGATATCGTCCAAGATCGGTTTCTAATCGAAGCATACGTAATAATTCTTCGTTTTCACGTGTTTTATTGATATCTAAATTAAATTTCGGGAAATTTTTATTTTTTATTAAAGAAAATGATTTTTACTAAACCTGAAAATTGATTTTCATCATTTGTATTTCCGCTTCCACATGATTTATTTTGATTTTCACTTGGATGTTGAGTCCACATTGATCGAGTATCAATTTCATCTGTTTGAGATTGAACATGTTCAGCATCATCATTTGTTTGTACTTTAATATTTGCTGTCCAACCTGTTCCACCATCAGTATTATCTGATGATTGATTTTTAGTATTACTTAAACGAATATCACGCATATAAGCAGCATGAGCTGGCATTGGTGCCATATCAAGAATATTAAATGATTGACGATCAAGTGTAATTAAACGAGATAAATCTTTATAACGACGTCGTATACGATCTGATATATCATGAGAATGAAAACGACGTGTATTAGCATAAACTTGAACTTCATTAACACCCGTTGTTGTTGATGAAGAATAAGATTTTGTTTTAGGAGACTAATTTAATAGAGATAGTTTTATTGAAATAAATAAGTATATGAATATTTACTTCATCGTAAGTTGAATTATATTTTTCTTCTTTGTATGATGAAGAAGATTTCTGAAAAGAAATTATAAATGTGAAGTTAATAAATATAACACACACACACTTCCGCCAAATACTTCGACTTATCATATCTCTATTTATATCGCTGAGTTCTTTATAATGAATTTCTTACCTTGACAGGTGGAGGAGCTGGTTCATCATCAAAATCATCATCATAATTCTAAAAAACAACGAATTTTTAAATAAAACAAAAAAAAAAGATAATTCAAACCTGTTCAAAATCATCACTATAATTATCGTCTTTTTCAGTAGCTTTGCTTTTCTAAAATTGTAACAATATGAAGAAATGGTTATTTAAATAGAATACACACTAACATGTTTCGAAGGAGCTGGAGGTGGAGATAGAGATCCTGGTGATTTTACTCGAGATGACTAAATTTGAAATAATAAAATTTTTTCGAAAGAAAAAAACAACATTATTTACTTTATGTTTTCGGCTATCACCATTTTCAGTATCTCGATTCTTTTTAAATAAAAATAAGTTAATTATTGATTTATTTTGCATTAAAAGTTACTTTTTCTTTTCGTCTACGTCGTTCTTCTTCATATTCTTCTTGTTCACGTTTTAATCGTTCATCTTCTTCACGCTTTAATCTTTCTTCTTCTTCAAGTTGTTTACGTAATTTTTTACGTCGTCGACGTTCACGTTCGTCTTCATCATCAGGTAATGCTACTGCATCTTGGTCATAATCATTTGTTTTACTACTATGTTTAGATTTTGATTTATGTGAGTCCGATTTCTAATAAATAAACTAAAATACATTATTTTCTTTATTATTTTCTTACATCTTTATGACGTGCCGTTGGTACTTCTTGTTCATAATCTTTCGAAGTTCCTCTATGTTTATCTTCTCGATAATCATCCTATAAAAGAAAATATTATGTAAAAATACGAATCATATTAATATATATATACTTTGCTTGAATGTTTGCTTTTACTTGTATCACGACTCTAAAAAATAAATCAATTAATAATTCGTATTTTCTTATTAGAAAACATGATTGAATATGTCTACTGAAAAAGTATTTACTTTACGATAATCTTGTAAATTATATAAGAAAAACGAATTTTTACCAATAATTAAAGATAACAAATCAAATTAGGTATATAAGAATTGTCTTACTCAGTGATCATGTATGCCCTACATTCTATCTAATTATTTTATGAAGAAAATAGTCATAGAAATTTGATTTTTTCGTTCTTTTAAATTTAAAACATTATCCGAATGGCTATATAATCTCGATATTCTTCCGAAAAGCGACAATATCGATTATGAAAACATATTTTTATAATAAATCCAAAGACCTACCTTTTTACTCGTCATTTTTCAAAAAGAACAGCTGTTAAAAAATAAAACAACCATTACATCTCCTCATTTTCTTTCTGTCGCTAATATTTGCCTCCTTAATTTTCTCAGAATATACATATGCATATCTAACTTAACATGTCATTCACAGTTCTGTGTCTGCTTTTGATTGGTCGAATGAAGCAGATTGGTTACTCACTCATGCGTATACTCAACTATTAAAAAATTGAAACACTTTTTTGTATTGATAAAACAAATGACATCGCTTACTTTACATTTATTAACTATTGTGATTAGTGTGATATTTATTTTTCTTGGACATATTCAACTAACACCACAATTCTTTCCTGAATATCATAATCAAATTCGAAATGAATATGGAAAATTAAATAAAGAATTTCCATTTTATCATTTAACTAATTGGCGACCATATGCAAAAAATTATCGAATAGCTACAGGTGTTATTGAAATGTCTTCAGGAAGTTTATTATTACTTGGCGGAGGTTTGTAAATAAATAAATTAAGGAACTTCTTACCAATTGTCATACATTTTTTAGGTTTTTCTCAAACAATGGCAAACATTGTATTACTTGCGATAACAGTAAATACGATAATTTCATTTCAGAAATTAAATTATGATATGGAATACATGGCTATAGCTATATTTCTTACATTTTTACTTACTTTCCGACTTATTTTAGTGTCACGATCAAAGGCATCTCATGCAGCTAAAGCTGCAAAAAGAAAAATTGAAAAAAAAGTTGAATAAAAATTGTTCTGTTTTTTCTTTTTTAAACATTAACTCGCATTATTGTTTTTTTGCATTTCCATTGCTTTGTTAACTATCAATTCACTCTTCGTTTATATCAAAACCTAGAAACTAGTTTAATAAATAAATATACATATTAATAAAAAATAACCATTATTTATTAAAGATCTAAACTAGTGAATGTCATACATATGAATTCGATGGTAGGGAAAGACCTTTACTTTTATTAAGAAAACATACGACATCGTTTGCCCTATTATCCTGCTGTTTTTCTATCGAGGTAAAATATCAAGTCAAGAGTTGATTCACAGGACAAACATATGATCAAGTTTTGTTATCTAGTAGAAAATCAGCTATGTCAAAACTATTCATAGATAATAACATTTATTATTGATTAAAGAATAATTCGAAATACGAAAACGATTGAATCAAGTATTTATTAAAAAATTCAAGGAATTACTATAAAAACATGTTTCTAGTCAATTATGAAGATGGACATTATTAACGATTTAACCATATGGTTTTTCTATTAACAGTTAATGGAGTCTGCAGACTGATTGATTAGAAATCAACTAGATGATCTATGTAAAATTCTGAATTATGAAATAGTTTCGAATAGAAAAGATTTTTATTCATTAATAGATCAACAGTAGAAGAATGAATTAATTTAGGCATTTTGTTTCGATGAGATATATAAATGTAACGAGGACCTGGATAAATAGATTAAAGTAAGGGTTAATATATAATTGAAACAGACAAAAGAAAAAAAGAGAAAAAAACAAATTCTAATCTATCTAAGTAATAATTATAATCATAGGTGATGAGAAAAAAGAAAACATATAATCGATTGTGTTTCCTTTTATTCGTATTCGACAGTACGATGAACAGATCGTGCACGAATTAATGTTGTTGTAACCATTTCAGCACGTTCTTCAGCATCTTCAAGCTCTCGTTCAAGTCGACGAGCGCGTGTTAATACTAGAATATATATATTCTAATAAGAATTTTGTTTATTTTTCGTAAATAAATTACCTTGTGCAGCTGATGATTCAGCACTTTCAATTTGTGATTTATAAACACGCATTTTATCATTAACTTTACTTAATGATTCAGTAAGTGAAAGAACTTTCGATTGTTCTTCATCACATTGTGTTAATACATCTTTAAGACGTTTTTCATTACGACGTAAATCTTTAAGAAGTTCTTGATAACGAGCACGTTCCAATTCAAGTTCACTTTCAAGTTGGGCAAGCTATTCAAAAAAACATTTTTTTATTACAAAAACAAAAATTAACGTTCACTTACTCTTCCTTCATATTTAGCAGCAAGACGTTTTCCTTCAGCACGAGCATACGCTTCAGCTTCATCGATCTTAGCATTACAATCACGTAATTGTTGATCTAATGCACGTTTTGAAGCTTCAGCTTCAGCAGCTTTTTCACGTTCATGACGAATATCTTCATCGCGATGAATTAATTCAGCACCGAATTTACGTGCCTACATAAAAATTATATTTAGATATTTTCAATTTATGTGTTACTATTATTTACTCGTTCTTCAACAATCTTAAGTTCTTGTCGAATATCAGCAATTTCTCCTTGATATTGTATAGCATCTGCTTCAAATTTCTTTCGTTCAGCAATAGCACGATTAGCAAATGATACAGTTTCAGTTAATCGTTGTTCGGAATCATGTAATTCAAGTTCTGTTGTTTTACGAGCTTTATCACTCTATTGAAAAAATTGAATTAAATTAAATTTTTTCAATAAAATAAACATACGCGATCAAGTAATACACGAAGTTCTTCAACTTCTCCACGAAGAAGACCTAAAATATAAAGTAAGAAAAAATAGTTGAATTTTTTGTTATATAATAACCATTTCGTTTATCAGCTGCAGCAAGTAATTCTCGTGATGCTTCATGTAATGTTTGTTCTTCAATAAATTGATCATGTATTTCTTTAATATTAGCTTGAAGTTTTTTAAGTTGATTTTCCATGTCAATTTTAGCTTTTTTAAATGATTCACAACGAACACGAAGTTCATCAATTTCTGCTTGAGATTTTGATTTCAAACGATTCATATCTGCTTTAAAGCGTGCTTCACCTTCTTCCATTTGTGCTTGGATTTGTTCCAATTGTCTTCGATGACCAGATCTATAATAATAATAATAAAAATGAATTTTCTTTTTCATTTCATTTTTTATTTTACCGAATTGTATCAAGTTCTTCTTCTCGTTCTTGAATTTTCTTTTCTAAATCTGTACGAAGTCTTTCAACTGAACCATGTAATGAATTATATTTTGTTATTTCAATATGTACTTGTTCACGATAATCTTCAATTGTTGAATTTAATGATAATTTTTCAGCGTCAAGTTGTTTACGAATACGATCCATTTCGACAAGACGTGTATTTAAATCAGATATTTGATTTAATGCAACATCCATTTCGTCTAAAGAAAAATATATATTTAGATCAATTCATGTTAATTTTTCAAATACAGTTGATATGTATATCTATCGGATTTTTATTAGAATGTTTATGTTTAGATATTATTTTTAATGTAATTAGAGAATATATATTTAAATAGATGTTGATATACATGTAGAAAAATCGATGTTTTTCTCATATGAATCGTATTTCAAAACATTGAGTATTTGTAAGATTAGGTTCTATCTTAAATAGTTACTTCCAGATCAGTTAATAAATACAGTATGTTTCTATTATCTTTATCGTAATTTGTTCTGACTTTCATTTATATTTATGTAAGATGATTCCCAAAAGACGATGAAACATCTAATTATAGTATTTTCGATTTCTCAACAACTATTTACAACAGTCGATCAATTTTTTCGATTTTACAAATGACCACAGTTCACTTTTAGATGTTAAACCGTACAAAATAATAGCAAAATATAAATAAAATTATTTATTGTATTTCTGAGCTGTATATGACTATCATTTTGAATATAATATCATATGATTTTATAATAATCTTTTAAAACAAACCTTGTAGACGACGTTTGTCACGTGTAACAATATCAATTTGTTCAGTGAATTGTTCATTTAAACTTTTCAATTTAACTAATTCACTTTGATAATTACGATTCGCTTGTAAAGCTGATTCGAATTCAGCACTTATTTGATTTAAACGTTGGCGAGCATCTTGGGTTTCGTTTTCTAATTGTTTATTACGACGAACAGCTTCATCTGCTCGTCTACGTTGCTAAATGAATAAAGAAAAAAATCTCAAAACGAATTCATATTTTGTTTTTACTTTATCAATTTCATCACCAATTTGATCTAATTCAGTTTGAAGTCGTTGTTTAATTTTTTCAAGATTACTTGTTTTAACAAGGACTTCAGTAAGTTGTTCTTGAACTTCATTGATACGTGCATTAAACTTACGTCTTAATTTAGAAATAAGACCGATTATTTATAAGAATAGACAAAACAAAACAATCTAACCGTTGATCTTCAATTTCTTCATTTTTGCCTTCGATTTCTTTTTCTAAACGATCACGTAAATGACGTGTTTCTTCTTGAATTTTAATTAATACTTTTTGTAATTCAGCTTTCGCTTCAAGTTCATCTTCAAGTTGTAATTTTGTTGATTCTAAATCCATTTGAAAACTTTTAACTGTTGATTGTAATGTACGATTTGTCTTAATAAAACAACAACAAAAATAAAAATATGATTATTAATAAAATAATCTTACAGCCATTTCAGTTTCTAAATGAAGACGTGCTTCTTCAAGATCACCTTGTGCTCGTCGATGTGTTGTTTGTAATGTTCCTAATTCAAATTCAAGTGTTTCAAGTCGTCGACTAAATGTTAAATTTTCTTCTGCAAGACGTGATTTAGCTGTATTAGCATCAGTTAATTGACGAATAGCATCATCAACTTTGCTACTCATTTCCATTAATCGTCCTTCAAGTTCTTTATTTGCTGATACAACTTGACTTTTACTTCTAGCTAATGATTCGACTTCAATTTTCAATTCTTCAATTTCAAGAATAAATGTTTTACTCTCCTTATCATGTCTAAAACCGAAAAAAAAGTTTTCTTTTTTTTGTTTTATTGAAAAGCAAACCTTGTTTTTCCTTTAGATAAAGCTTCCACTTGACTTGTTAAATCCGAAAGAGTATCTTGAAAACGACGACGAAGTCCATTTTGATTTTCATCGCTTTCACTTGATTGAAGTTCAAGTTTTTGTCGTAAATCATGAATTTCTTGTTTTAAACTAGATAAAAGTTTGAGAAATATTTCTCTGTCATTTCAGCAATATAATTAATTACCGTTTATTAGCATCAACTTCTCGATCACGAGCAGTTGTTATTTCATCGAATTGTTGTTCAAGTTCGTCAAAATCAATACGTAAAACTGTTAATTCTTTTTCTTGACGAAATCGTACATCACGTTCAGATTTCATTTCTTCTTCCATATCACGAAGGCGACTCTAGAAATTTTTATTATTATTCAAATATTGATTTAATTTCAAAAAATAACTTACAGCTAAAATGGCTTCAGTCATTTTTAATTGTCTAAAATATAAAATCAGAAATAGTTTTTCTTTTCTATATAATGTAAATAAATCAAACAAGGACACAAAGGGTTGGAAGTGATGATGACATAGGGATAAACTCTTCTTGTAACATGATGAGCTTTCTTAAGTGGATGGATATACATTCACAGAAGCTTATCTCATCTCTGACCATCATTCGGTCAATGATAGGAAAAGAAAACAACAATTGAAGAATCTATCTGTCGACATATATATATAATGGATATGATCATTAACATATATTATCTCTTGAGAAAAAGGTTACCTAATATTCTCATTTTATTATTCTATTAGAGTTTTTATGAGTTGTCAATTTTTTTCTAGTAAATAATCTTGTTCTATACCTTGATTATTAAAACAAGAAATATTGTAGTTGTTGGTTAATGTCGAGACAAAAAAAGCCGAAAGAAGTTGGAGAACGACTCTTTGAATGTATCTTACTCGCCTGAAAGCATACGAGACGAAGAAGAAGAAAAAAGAAGGAAAAAAATAAGGCAATCCCAAAATGCGACGCTTGTCCTATGTATACATATAGTTCTTCTTTTTTTTTCCTCTAGTACTATTCTATGGATGATCTAATGTTACATATAGCAACGATGTGTTATCATCAGCGACGGCAATAGTACGAAGAAGTTTTTTCTGTCGATAACTATACGACATATATACACGCGTCTAAGCAAACAAGTATTTTTCTGCAATACATCGTCAGAAACAACAACAGACCTTTATTTCATCTATATTTTCTGATTGTTCCATTGAGAAAGAAAAGAAAAAAAGAAGAAATTTCGTCACCAATATCTTGCCTGGTAAACCTACATGAGACAAATGGTTGTGTTCCTATCTGATATTATATTATCCATAACCTTGAGAATCATTCTGCACATCGAGCAAACTAGAAGAATATGTATATAGTCTTTTCTTCCTTCCTTTTCTTTTTTTTCTATAATCAGAACAAAAAAAACCACAAAGATAAAAAATAAATAAATAGAACCGCGCAGATACAAGAAAGAAATTTTATCAATAATGATTAACACAAAAGAAATAAAACAAAAAAAACTTTTTTTCGATTTTTCTAATTTTGATTTTGTATTTTTTCAAATTCACTTGACCATTGTTCTATATCGCATGTTAATGTTGTATCATTTGTATCATTTTCATTTGTACTTATACGACGATCCCAAAGTTCAGCACGTGCAAGAACAGATTTTCTTCCCAATGGTGTTGACGAACGATCTGATAGATTAGATGATGAACGAAAAGTTAAGTCAAATGAATTTTCATTAGATTTAGTTTGCATAGATTTTGCTGGAATAGGTGAATTATCTGACAAAGGTGTTGATCGTTTATTAGAGTCTTTGGTTAATAGAAATTTTTTTTGTTTTTGTTGTTGATTATTTTCATTGTCATCATCATTGACCTGAAATAAAATAATAATAATTAGATTTGTCTAATCAAATAAAAATAATAATAATGTATGTGAGAAAAATAAGCTAAACTAGAGGAGAAAGTAAAAGCTTACATTCTCACTCATTGATATTATTCATAATCTAAATGAAGAATAAGCTTTTGTTTAATGTATAATTAAGTTTCTTTAAATAAAATAGTTAGAAGAAATTAATATTAAACTCACATGTTGATTTTCATTTTTAGTATTATTTAATTTTGTGTTATGAGAAGAATTTCTTCCGGTTAGTATTAATAGATTTTTATTATTAGTATTATTAATATTATTATTAATATTAGTTAAATTCAGCTTTTTAAAGCTTGATGTTGTTTGTTCAGTGCGCACGTGCTCTTTGCGCTGTTGTTGATAATGATGATTTGGATAGTATTGATATTGAAGCAAAGGAGAAATAGTAGTAGTAGTAATAGGTAAAATATTATTAGGTGTTAAGCTATCATAGACAAGCGTGGCACCACCACCAATTACTTGTTGCACAGCTGATGTTGTTGAAAGTTGATTATTTAGACTTTGTGCAGTGCGGATTGGTGAGTTTAAGTTACCTTTCTGACGAAGATTACTGTTTGTTAATACAGTATCATCACGATTATTAGTTGGGGTTGATGGCATTGAATTTTGTTCAGCTAATTGAATAATTTGAAATTTTATTTTGAGTAAAAGAGAAATGTTTACTTGATGATCGAATGGGTAGTTTTGCACGAATTTTTTGTGTTGGACGTTCGATATTATTAGATGTTAATCCTCGACATGTCAAACTCGCAACCTTAATAGAAAGAAAAAGAAAATGAGAGATAAAAAGAAATATCAGTAGAGTTTAGTGATGAACAAGCAAAGCTAATATTTGAACACGTGCGAATAAAATAAAATAAACTTTGATGATTTTAATATCCATTACCTTTGTCTGTTAATAGCTAAGAGAAAAGATATATTAGAGCTTTACCTCCTCATCATCATCAATCGAATAATGATCTTGAGCCTTTTTTATAGATACAAAAAAAAATAGTTATTTTGATAAAAACATAAATGTTTTGTTCTTAATGAGAAAAGAAGCGTTGAAGAACACGAGAGAATAAAAAATAAATTTTTTTTTAAAAGCAACAAACCGGCAAGAGCGGATAAGCAGCATCTGCTTCATAATTTCCTACTCGAGGAATTTGTGATTGTGAATGACTTTTACTAAATTCATTTGTTGAATTATTTGTTGACATTCGATCGAATTTTTGTTTTAATTGTTTAACAAGTGGACTTAATGGACGTTCACCATCAACACCATTTGACATTGGAGATGTAGAAAATGATTGTGAAAGTGGATTGAACTAATATAATACAAAAACAAAGGAATTGTCAATAATAAAAAAAGAATTCAATCTTTTTTTACTTCTTTATCTTGCGACATAGACGTGGTTGATTGTTGCTGTGTTTGTTGAAAAACAATATTAGTTGTATGTCTTCTAGTTGAATCACGTCTCTTAATAAATAGGAAGGAAAAGAAAAAAGAAAATTCAGAAGAGAATAAAGATTATCGTTCTTCTTACTTGACGATCAGGACCAACAGTGGTATTAAGTAATTCGGGTAAACGTATTTCCCATTTAGATTTTAATGAATTAATATTTGCTTGTGATGGAATAATAGGTGAACGAGGGCTCTCTTCTACATATATATTATAGGATGAATTAAAATAATTAATAAAGAAATTTTCTACCTGGTGGTTGTTCAATGGATACATGTCGATCAAGAAAAAATGGTTGTTTTTGTTTTATTGGATGTCTTAATTCATCATCATCGGCTTCTAATGAATTAACACTTGCTTCATAAAGATTTTGCCAATCTATGAATATATATGGTAGTTATGAAATAAAAAATTCTTTTTTTGGAATTTACTTTCAAGAAATTTGCTTGATCGATCAACGCGAAATTTATCCATAAAAACTTTGGCATTATGTTGTTCATCATCACTCTCAGCTGGTCTTCGTAACGGTGATGGAGGTGGAGAAATTTTTGGTGGACTATCATCATTATGTTCTTTCGAGTTCATAACAGAATCTTCTCTAGTTGCTTGTTGTTTTCTTAATAATCTTGCTTGATTTATAACAACGGGAGAATCTCGTGGTATGTCGATAACTTCTATAGATATAAATATATATATTTGTAAGACGAATAAGTTAAATATAACGTATGTAAATATCTCTTTTTTTGTCTTGTTCTTCTCATAGTAAGATAAAGATAAAAAAAAGATGAGAGGGTTACCTTTTTCGTGAACAAACACATCGGCTGTAATTTGCACACGACCAGCAGCATTAAGTGCCAAGCACGTAAATGTCCCATTGTCATCTTCGATTGTTGCTTCATCAACATGTAATGCATGTTGTCCATCACCATAATAATCTATTGACAAACAGACAGACAAATATATGAAAGAGAAAAAAAAGACGAAAATCGTATTTTAACGACATTTATAAGATTTCATATTTGTTTTCTATGTAAATAAAGATATCATGAATAGTTGAAAGGTTTCAATAATATAAACTAGAGATTTATAAAAGAAGCAATTAATTCTTTCAAATATTAGTTACATAATATAAATATTTATTTTTTATAGTAAGATTCTATGAAAATCTATCGGTAAAATTTATTAGATACTCACATAATTTATAATGTCCATTTGGTTGAATTAATGTATTTTCTTTATACCATAAAACTCTTGCTTTTGGATAACCTTGATCAAGTTTACATCTTAATGTTAATGATGAGCCTTCATTAACATCCATATCGGAAAATTCTTGGGTAATAGTTGGTTTAGTAAATGATCGTTTATTATCTAAATAAAACAATAGTAAAATAAATTATTCTATTCTTAAACTAACCTTTAACGGATAATTTAACCATATCAACATTTTGTGTTTTATCATTTGCAATAACACATAAATAAGCACCTTCATCTTCTTTAGTTGTTGAAAATATTTTTAAATAATGAAAGAAATTATCATGACTTAATTGATATTTTTCATCATTAATAAGTTCATCATCAGTACCAAAACGAAACCAGAAGACATCGATTGGTTCTGTACCTTGAATTTTTGTTTTAAATCTTGCTGTTTCACCAAGACGTGCATTTGTATCTTTAGGTCTAAGAATAAATTTTGGATCAGTTATATTTGGATCCATACGAAATTTTTCTTCATCAATAAATGTTTTCATTTCTGCTAAACTTGTACTTGATGATATTATAGATTCATTATCAGATTCATATGTATAAGATGGTCGTCGAAATGAACAAGAAGAATGATTTTGAAGAAGAAGATTAGCTGGTAATGGAAATGTTTTACGATTTATGGTTGATTCGTTATCACTTATTTGAGATTGTTCACCAATTGTTGTTGTATTTATTGGAATTGGATAGGATGAAGATTCATCATCGGCATATAAATCATCATCAGCTAGATCTTCAAGAGGTCTTTAAAAAAAACACAATTGATTTATTTTAAAAAACAAAATTTGAATTTTCTTACTTATCACCAATACGTGGACTTATATTTTTGTTATCAGAAACTGGAAGTGTTAAAGCAAAAGTGTCACGATTACTACGTGTAGTTTCGTCTCCGGAATGTGAAGACTAGAAGAAAAAAATTATACGTCAATCTAATAGATTATCTTCTAATAGAATATACCTTCGATTCAAATAAAGTAAAATTCGTTTGCCAGTCACCAACACGAGCTTTTGATCTATTAATTGTTTCTAAATCTGGATCAATAGAACGTCGATGTTTTCTTGGATTTGATGTTTCATCATCAATTGAACTAAGATCAACTTTAAGACCATTATCAAATTCAATACTTTCAGTTGTAGTTAGTGGTTGGTTATGATTAGTACCATTAACTATATGTTCTTCTTCTTCTTCGTCGTCTTCTTTAATAGTATCTAAAAACAAAATTTAAATAAAAAAAAATTGATATATATTTAAATAGTATAATTTCTATTACCTTCTTCTTCGTCTGCACCTGACCTTTTTGATAAAAGTACTCGACGTATACTATCGTTACGAGATTTAATCTATTTGATTAGATTATAATTTTAATAAAAAAAAAGAAGAAGAACAGAAAAAGACAATGTTAATTACCTCCCAAGATGCACTAGATGAATTACTCCAATTTGGTTGAGATGTTGATGGTTTTGTAAGTGATGTTAATGATGATGTGTTTGATGCTTGTCGTGAGGGTTTAGGTGGTGGTGGAGGTGCTGACTAGAAGAAGAAAAATAACAAAATTTACATAAAATAAATTAGATTTCATAATGAGATTTACTGCATCAACAACATCAGGTAGTTCTTGAAAGATTTCTTTGCTTACACACTTATCAAAAATAGCTTGTGCTAATTTTTGATCAAAATTATCTGTATTTATAGATGAATTTGGTGCGATTAAAGTCTATATAAACATAAATAAAAAAAATCATTAAAAAAATACATAACATAACTAAAATACTTTATGAAATTGTTGTAAATTTGTTTTAAGAATTTCTTCTGTTTGTTGTATTAATAAATTTTGTAAATCTCTTTCATGTGTTGTATTTGTTGTTGTATGTGAACCTGTATAATTAAAAATAGGTTTTGGTGATGATTTAAATCGTGTTAAAATTAAAATAGATAATATTGTAACTATAGCCACAAACGGTATAGAAACAAGTATAGTTTGAAGTGCATATAATACTTGTAATACAGCTATGTATGATATGAATATAATAATAAATCGTTTCAATAATGAATGACGTTGTTCTTGTATCATCGTTTTATTAAGATTAGAAATGAAGTTTTATAGTAATAAATAACAATCAGTGCAAACTACATTTCTTTTTGTTAGTCGTCTTGAAAAAAAGCCAAAAGAATACGAAAGAAAAACAAATGTCGTCGCCGAAATACAAAGGTAGAAAAAGAAATGAAGAGAATATTTTGTCAAATTCTCCACACCTGACTATAAGTGAATCACGTAAGAAAGAATAGATCAAAAAGTAAAGAACAAAAGCGTACTGTTTGAGTTTATCGTAAAAAAATTGTGCTTAAACATCTTCCAAGAAGCTCTACTACTGAAGCACCTTTTTTTCATTCTCCTCTTTTTTTTATACAACTTATAATGTCCTTGAACAATTCTGTATGCATATATTTGCATAGAGAATATGGAGCACCCTTTTTTTTTTCAAAAGCAAATTATGTTATGATATGACATCGAATATCAAGGTATAGAATCATTTGTCAATAGAAAGAAATTTTTGGTCAAGTTCATAATAATATCAATAAAAATAAACTTACGTCGGAGTGGACCACTAAGAGCGACGCGAGCACGAGCAACTTCAGTTGTAATTTGTTGTTGATGAGCTTTGAGACCTTCTTTACCTGTTATATATTTAAAAAGAAAACATGTAAGATAATAAATATTTATTAGTGTTTTTCATTGATATGTTGAGTTTGAAAATTTTATATTCAGAGAAAAAAAATCTATCTCCTTTTTTTGTAAAGTTATTTATAAAAAAAAGTCTGAAGTGGTTAGATAGCATTTATATGAGCATATAGCTCACCGCCTCGTCGAATAATAGTTGCAACTGATAAATAAGATGAAAGATTTAATTATAAAATAAATTATTAATATATTTTCTTACTTTTGTCTCGTACTGTACGATGATTATTATATATATTACGTTCACTTAAATCAGCTTGTAATTTTTCCACAAGTAATGATAATCGTAGAGAATATTCTTTTAATTCACGTTTAACATTTGTATCATAAGTAACAAATGAAGTGATAGCACCTATGAAAAAAATTGATATATATATATCTGCATAATTTTCGAAGAGATCAATTGAATAAAAGATTAGAAGAAAAATATAAAATCCTTAGCAAATAATCAATGTTACTATTTGCTTATAAAACCAACCAGGTTCTTGTGTTGGTAAGGTTCCATAACCAAGATCATCATCAAATTCATCAAGATCAGCTAAAATATACAAAAAGAAATTTTTTAACACTTTAATCTCACCTAAATGTTGTCGAGCTTTTGCTTTTATATATGTATTTCGATGATCAGGATCAAACCATGTTAAACGAACAGAAAGAACATCTCCTTGTCCTCGAACTTTCCATGATGTTAAACGACCATCATGATAAAGTTCTTGAAGAACATTTAAGAAACTTTTGGGAATATCATTGTCAACGTCAAATGAAGGCAATTGTTCAAATAAACTTGCCATTATGATTATAAACTGACTATAGAATTGAATGGGAGGAGAGACTAAATTATATCGATGTGTGTATGTCTACGAACAAGCTCATTGTCGCCGTTGTCATCAATAATACTCATCAACAATTCGGTCACTCTGTACGTAAATAGTAGACTGTCGGAGATATATATCTATATATGTTCTCGTACTCTCTGTTCAATGTAGATGTTAAAAGAGATATGTAGGTCGATGAGCTCAAATCTATGCACTTGACATACAGAATAACGAGAGAGGGAGAGAAAAGGGAGGGAAGAGACAAACGAAAGGATATGTGGCATAAAATAAATACAAATAAAATATAACCTATATGAAGACAAAGAAAATGAATGAGATTGAGACGATAATGATTGGATAGGAGGAAGGGAGAGATAAAACAATATGATTGTGTTGTTAATTAACTTACCAAGTTCTTTTTCACGTTTATGAAGTTCACGAACGACTTTTGCACTACCACAACGTTTATGTTTTTTACTTGATTCAAAATAAAACCAATCCGATGTTAAAACTTCAAGTTTTCTAAAGCAGAGAAAAATTACAATAATTATCACTTCATGCATAATTAAAAATACATTATAAGCAAAACTAATTGCAATATTCTATTCGATAGAAGAATCTTTCATAGATACTAATATATATCCGGTGTTTACTAAATCAAATTATTCCTTACACGCACATCCCGTCTAAATTAACAACTAAATTACTTAAAATAACCTTTTAACTTTATAATATTTTTTGCAATTATTTTTTTTTAGTTCGAATTTCTAATTTAACACATATATTTCGTGTTAATATATTCAAACAACAAAACGAATCGATTGCCTGTTGAATATCTACTGCATTTTCTTCGCTTCACTGAATAAACAATATGTATTACAGCGGAAAATAATGTCGTCGACAAATATTTGAAAAACAGAGTAGAGAATAATTTATGATATTTATTTTATTCAAATCTTACTTCAATTCCAAACAGGATTTACATGCCCATGTTTTGGTTTCCTTCGCATAAGTTGCACATTCATGACAAACAAATAATTTACATTCTGAACATGGTTCTTTTGGATTGAAAAATATTCGAAATGGTTTAAAACATCTTATACAACGTTCAAGATTGAAATCTTTTGAACCAGCTAAATATTGTACACGTTCACTTTCTTGTCGAATGACTTTTTTTATATCACTAGAAACATATTATTTTCATTTCGAATAATGTAAAAACATTTTTTTTCTCTTTTATACATACTCTAATCTTTTATATTCTTTTTGACGAAGTTTAAAATCACGTTCAACAACAGATAATATACGTTTACATTCATCATCATTTAATATTGATAATTCCGATGCTCGCGATGTAACAGATCTTGCTTCTATTATTTATTTATTTTCATTAAAATTTTATTTATATATATTAAAAAAACTACTCACCAGATTCAGATACACTTGGAGCTCGTTGCATGATGAGAATGTTATTAATTAATGTGGGGGTAGTAGTCGTATCATTGTTTGATGATATATAGTTTGTTTTTTGTGTGTGATTATATAGGTATGTTACTCAATAAGGTTTTACGTATCTTTTTCTTTCTTTTCTTATTTCTTCCTGCTATACTGAAAGACAGAATAAAAGCGAAAGAGTAATATGTAACTAATAATATATATACGATAGCATGTGCTGACGTCGTTTTGTCAGTTCTATGCCTTTGCTTTTTTTTCTGTATTTATGTGACTAAGGTTTGATATCGATCACGCACGTATTCGATGATTAGAAAGGTAGAGTGAAAAAAAAGCCATGTTATTACTAACAATTATTTATTTGCGACGTATAAATATCAAAATATATATTTTTGTTTTGCTTTTCCTTCTTTTTTTAACGAAAACCTATTAACTAGGACCCGTTGTTTATGTTCGAATTAACCTATGAAATACATCAATCATATGGCGAAACAAAAATATCATGTTTGCTCTTTTTTTCATTATACGTCACTAGTATAGTTTCAATTTGTCATTCATATTACTAACAATTATCAGATGTTTACTAGCAAATTGTTCTATTTTACTCATCATATTTAGTCAAAGAAATTTTTGTTTGTCTGTTATTTAAAATAGTTATGCGATTATAATTTAAATACGTTTTGATATTAGTTGCAATTTTTTCTAGCAATACCTGGTCGACATAAATAAAAATCATCATTCATTATATATCGATGCTTTCGACAATCATTGACATTTACATCGCATTGTATCAAGTGTTTGATATTACATCGTTTTTTTTGAATGTGGTAATAAATAATAATACTAGACAATTATGTTTTATGTGGAGTTTTGGATATATGGTATATTGTTGATTTAAGTTTGATTTCAGTTTATTTTAACACTCGAATACAACCAGTTTATTAATACGAAAACAAAATTTGAAATTTGATAGATCTGTCAATCAATCAATCATATCGATATTGAAAATCATAAAATATACTCTACGAATTTGTATTATCCTTTTTTAACATAAATCTATAAACTGAAAAATATGTTCAAGACATTCTTTTCAAATACGAGATATTTTCTGTTTGTTGATATAGGATATCAATGGGTTTATTAATGAACAAATATTAGAAAGACAATATATTTTCTAACCTACTAAGATTATAATGCTGAAATTTTCAGGTATAAGATATATCTAATTAAATGATGGTCAAATAAATCTATACTAGCGGATGATTTCTCTTGTGTATTGTTCTGAATAATATTATTGTTAACTGTTTTTTTTTCATAATAAAAAATATATTATGATTAAACAAAGATAGATGAATGAAAGATAAATAAATTTGTATTTACTAGTTTCATCTTTTTCAATGATTTAAAATATTTTGTTGTTTATATAAAAGCAAAACACAAGGGATGATACGAATACAATATTCATTCAATATAAAACACAAAAGAATAGAGATTATAAATTTGAATAGAACTAAGCTTTTTTTGCAATATAATCATCAACGCATAAAATATATCGACTCGAAATTTGTCTATGATAATATTTATTTTATTCTTTATCGAACTAATATTAAATAAATATATTATTTATAAACAAAGCTTTTCCAGTGATGACTAATAACTACATAAGTCAAATTCTTAGTGTATTATGTAAGAAATCCTATTGAATATAATATAATAGAAACATTTATTATTATTATTCAGTAAACAATAATGAGAATTATTTTAGATTCAATTAAATTGCAAGAAAAAAAATTCTTTGCAGATAGTACCAGCCGAAAATGCCCAAATAGTTTCTTCTTCTTAATCATTTGATATGGATTTGATTGTTAAATACATTTCTTATAGCCTAAAATAACTTTTCTTTTATCTCAAATGATGATGACAGAAATTTTCTAAGTATGATCATAAAAGAAAGGTTACGACAATCATCAGTGATTTATTGATGTTTTGTCTATTAGTTTTCGCATCGATATATTACATACAAAGAAAGTAATATTATTCGCATGACCCATAATAACGAACTTTCTTATATAATAAGTTTGATTAACAATGATAAATAAGAAGGATATTAAATCGTTTTGAAAAGATTAGAAATCAGCTCATTTGATAGCCCATATTTTCTGTATATGATAATCTATATTATTATACATACTCGTAAAGTTTCATTTTTTTAAATTATCGAATAAAAAGTTAATGTAATTCTTGATGACTATCTGAAACTGAACATTCTGAAACTTTCACGAAAATTGTCCTGATACTTTGAATTCAATTTAATTCTTCGTTTATTTTAAATTTACTTTTTTGCAATAACATCTTTTTAGCGTTTTTTTACAGCATTATGTAGTATTTCATATCTTGTTTTTAAGTAGAAATTAAAAAAAACTTCAAAAAAAAGAGAAATAATAAATAATTCAAACAGTTTTCTGTATTTCATATATATATATGACCATCGGAGTAAAGGAAAATAAGTGTTTTGTGTTTAAGCAGCAATATTTTGTGAATTTTTACAATATATAATGTCTGCGATGATATAACTATTTCCAGTTTTCGAGTCTTCAGTAACATCAAATATGAGAGAAAAAACAACCTTAAAGATTGCTTTTCTCTTCGTCGAAAAGCGTAGTGAAATTTCTTTTTGTGGGTTATTTTAGTAACTGACAATCACAAAAAAACGTATCCATTTCTTTCCCGTTCTGTCTATTACTAAGAAATGTCTATGTTGATGTTCCTTTGTTTTTCATGACAACATCTGCAATAATTACTGAAAAAGGCGTTGTTGTCCAATTAAAAAAATAGAAAAAAAATCTGAATAAGAAGTAGAGAGAATATAAAATGAGCTACTTTACTCATTTTTTCACTCTCAAAGTTCTTCAAGGTACTCGAATACAACACATTCTTAGTACAAATAGCAAATAATCACAGTCAATGGCAATTAGCAAAAAAAGTGACACAAAAAAACTAACCTAACATCTAGTCTCTCGATGCGTGTAACTGCAGATCGACGTATGAACATGCAAAGAACGCAAAATGTCCTTCTTATTTGGTTAGACAATAATATTAATGATGATAATGCTGATTGTTATAATACAATCAAGCAATTAAAACGTGTAGTTAACGACGTAAACACATTTACAGATAGTGAACAATGCGTTGAATTTATTCAAACCATTACCGACAACAAAATATGTATGATTATCTCCGAGTCACTTGGGAAACATATTGTGCCTCGTGTGCATAATATGTCCCAAGTAGACACCATTTTTATTTTTTGTAACAATCAAGAATGTGATAAACAATGGGCCACAGAATGGCGCAAAATAAAAGGAGTCTTCACAGATATGACATCAATCTGTGAAGCTCTTAAACAAGCTGCTCGTCAATGTGAGCAAAATGCCATCTCAATCAGCTTTGTGGCATCAAACAAAAAGTTGGATCAATTAGATCCATCATTTATGTATACTCAGATCTTGAAAGAAATCCTATTAACTATCGACTTCGAAGCTGAACATATTAAAGAATTCATTACTTACTGTCGTGAAGCATCTGCCGAAAATGAGTATAATTTACATACTATAAAAAAATTGGAAAGTGACTATCATAATCATATACCTATTTGGTGGTATACTTATGAACAGTTTTTATATTCGATGCTCAACCAAGCATTAAGATTAATGGATGTTGATATCATTGTTCGAATGGGTTTCTTTATTAATGATCTACATCGTGATATTCAACGACTCCATTCGAGACAATTAGATGGTCAACAATCTGATAAAACATTTACAGTTTATCGTGGACAATGTCTTTCAAAAGAAGATTTCACTGAAATGACAAAAACTAAAGGTGGACTTCTTCGATTTAATAACTTTTTATCGACTAGTACAAGTCCTGGTGTTTCTCTCTGTTTCGCACCACAAGCTGCTACAAATCCTGATCTTGTTGGAGTCTTATTTGTTATGTCAATTAATCCTACTCATTCAACAACTCCATTTGCTTCTATTAGTGATGTTAGTTATTTTCATACAGAAGATGAAGTTCTTTTCTCTATGCATACCATTTTTCACATTGGAGATATTAAACCGATAGATGAAAATAATAACCTCTATCAAGTGAATTTAACATTAACCAATGACAACGACCAAGACCTTCGTATTCTTACTGATCGTATACGACAGGAGACCTTTCTAAATCAAGAAGGATGGTATAGATTGGGATTATTACTGATTAAAATGGGTCAGCCTAACAAGGCTCAAGAAGTTTATGAAGTTTTACTTAATCAAACAACGAAAGAGAATGAGAAGGCACCGATTTATCATCAGCTAGGTCGAATCAAACGTAATCAAGGGGAATATCAAGAAGCACTTTCTCATTATAGAAAAGCTCTTAAAATTCGACAGCAATCGCTTCCTCCAAATCATCCTGATTTAGGAGATTCCTACAACAACATCGGTTATGTGTATAAGAGTATGGGTGATTATCCAAAAGCACTTTCTTATTATGAAAAAGCCTTTGCAATTCGACAAGAATCACTTCCTTCTAATCATCCTGATTTGGGTGCTTCCTATAGTAACATTGGGTTCGTGTATTATAACATGGGTGATTATCCAAAAGCACTTTCTTACTATGAGAAAGATGTTGCAATTCTACAACAATCACTTCCATCCAGTCATCCTGACTTCGGCGATTCCTATAGCAACTTCGGTTTGGTGTATTCCAAAATTGGTGATTATCCAAAAGCTCTTTCTTATTATGAAAAATCCCTTACAATTCGACAACAATCACTTCCTTCCAATCATTCTGACTTGGCTGTGTCCTATAACAACATCGGTAATGTGTATAAGAGTATGGGTGAATATCCAAAAGCCCTTTCATTCCATGAAAAAGGCCTTGCAATTCGACAACAATCACTTCCTCCCAATCATCCTCAATTGGGTGATTCCTATGACAACATCGGGTTGGTGTATTACAACATGGGTGAATATCCAAAAGCAGTTTCATCTCATGAAAAAGCCCTTGAAATTCGTCAACAATCACTTCCTTCCAATCATCCTGATTTAGGAGATTCCTATAACAACATCGGTATGGTGTATGATAGCATGGGTGATTATTCAAAAGCACTCTCAATTCATGAGAAAGCACTTGCAATTCGACAACAATCACTTCCCCCCAGTCATCCTGATTTAGGTATTTCCTATAACAACATCGGGTTGGTGTATGAGAATATGAGCAACTATTCAAAAGCGCATTCATCTTATAAATGTGCTGTACAAATTGGAGAACAGTCACTACCAACATATCATCCTAAGCTTCAACAATGGAGAGAAAACCTCGAAAACATAAAAAAGAAATTATAATTTGTTATTATATGTTTTTTGAAGATAAAATAAAACTGATGAAAAATAAAATGTGTCTATTGAAACTCTGTTCTTGCTGAGAAGACAATATGAGCAGTAACACTCACCGGTGAGATAAGCGGTATTTATTGAAAAGATATGTATTATAGAAAAGACTTTCACGATTACATTACTATGCTTGAACAAGTAGAGCTCCGTTGTGTTAGATAAAAACAAAGATACTCAACAGAAACATAGAGTAACGGAAGGAGAGAAAAAGTCTATTTTATTAATAGAGTAAATTATTCTTTCTGTTCCTATATTAACGAACAGTTCATACCATTGATAAACTGATCCATATTAAATGAATATAATACCGGTATACTAGAGTACTGCAGAGTCGAGTTTTTTATTTCGATTCCGAGTCCGAGAAAATATTCTAGTTAATTCCGACTGCGACTTCGAAAATTTTCAAATAGTCACTCCAATTATGACTCCGACTCTATCGGCTTTCGGAAGACAGTGCAATTCTCTACTTGTCATGATCAGCTGAAAGTGAGAATACATAAATCAAAAACAGATTGACCTATCTGTTTCCGCTTTTGTCTTTCGAATTAATACATTAATTATTGAGCTACTCAAGTATGACACCTAAATTGATAGAATATTCAGAGGAGTGTGGGTAAGTATACTATATCCTTTTCTCACTCACTCCACACTCTCACACACATCCATCCACCTATCTCATCCAAATGGTTCAATTTTTTATTTGAGAAAAATCAATATTTTGTAGAAACTCCTTTAAAATACATTAGTCAAATTCGTTATTGATGGCGAGTTTTATTAATAATTCCACGTATAGTTCTCTTCAATTCCCTTCGAAATAGACTTCCAGCTAGAGAATAAATGTAGAAACCAACTGAACAGTTAAAATATGATATCAAAACTGTTACATTGAAGATAAACGTTTCACGAGCGATGTCTTCGGATGTTAGTTGTAAATTTATAAGAACTATTAATGAATTATACAGTTTACTAACAGCTAAAGGGACAGTAAAAACGACAAAGAGAGCAATTTGAACAAGTAACATTGGGACGAGTAATATTCCTTTTCTTCGTAACAGATTGTTATTTGTAGCAGTTTCGATCTGCCTTCCCATTTGATGAACGTTGTTAATCATTAAACATCCAAAAATAGTCATTAAAACAGCTGGTAATAATGAATAGACAATAAGAAATTGCATATCATTGAAGGTACGACAGACGGCTCCTTTTGAATAGCATTGAACTGGAAACTGATTTGGATCTGCGACAAAACAATAGAATACTTGACCATAAAATAAGATGCTCAAGACTGTTGTGCTCAGTACGAGACGACATGCAACATGAGAACGACTAAAACTTCGTCGATAGAGAAGATGTGATGTTGACAAATAACGATCGATTGAAGCAAAAACTATAAACCAAGATAGAAGTGCTACACTTCCATAATAAAAATAGAAACGCATTTTACATAAAATATTATTCCAATTTGTTAAATCTAAATTAAAACCACCCAGAAGTCGACTGATAAGACCAGAGTAGAGTACTATCAAACTAGTAATTGATGCAGAAAGAAAATAGATTGAACATGGATTTTTTCTCAAAGATTTTCGTAGGAAAATAAGAATATTGATTAGATTACCAATCGTACCAAGAATAAGAATTGGTGGAGCGAGAAAAGCATTCATATTGATAGTAAGCTGAGTGTATCTCGCAATAGTTTCATTGGCTATAGTATCCATTCCTGTCCTGTAAATCTCTGATGAAATGAACGTAAACTCTCCGAAGATTTTATACAAGTCAGAATATCTTCTAAACCATTTCAGGTGTCGTGACTTATTAAAAATTATAATAATATCGTTAACGTTTAATTGATACACATTTGAAAACGCTATTTTCCACAAAAATTGTTAATCACGCAAACTACTATCTAAAAGAAACAATATTATCGAAATGACGAAATAAATTATTTTCTGAATTATCTTAAATCCCAGTAAAAGAAGTCATTTCTTAAAAAAAAACAAACGGAAAGAACTACATTGCATACATATAAACAATGATACCTTCTAAAGAAAAATCAATAAAATGTATGGAAACAATGTATACTTCGTATAACAAAAATTCTTTAATTCTCTCTTTGCCTAAGGTATTTATTAAATATTATGTTATGGAAAAAATCATTCTTTCAAACTATGAAATAGTCAGAAAAGCGTTTTCTATCAAGTAGAAATCTATATATTATGTACTTCAAATTAACAATTCGAAACTATTTTTCCATATAAAAAGAATTTTCTTGATATTCTTTTAGTAGACAATATAATTGCATCTGATATAATCAGCTCATAGTGGAAAGAAACTGTTCCCTATAGGTTAATGACATTCTTGTGTATATACCTCTTCGTTTCTCTTTCTATTCTGACATTAAGTGGCGATAATAGCGCATGTCATACTCATTCACTTTTCTCTTAATTTATCTGAAATATATTCCGTTAATCTAACGAGATAACATTTTCAAGGGTGTGAGTGTAGTAGTAGCTAGGGTGTGGGTATTCTATTTACTTCTCACTCACATCCATACCTTGTTGTTCTTGAAATAATTGAATATGATGTTGTAAACATTTTTCTCGATATAAAAACAACATTTATAGAAGCAAAAAAAAAATAAAAAAATAAAAAATTGCTCTCGCAAAAAGAATTGTTTGATTATTAAGTGATACACTAAGAATTATAAACAGATATTATTATATAGAGTAAACTTGTGATGATATATAATTTTCTACATCAGAAATTCTTTTTAAATTTCATTAGTATCTAGTTTTCTAATGTAAAATTAATGATATATTTAATTCAAATTGAATAAAACAACAACAACAACTACCAAATATAGGAAATGCACATTTGATGCATGTTCCGCAAAAATTCATACTGATTTAAATAATGGATCTTCTTTTGTAGTTTTTAACTCATGTGTGCTTCCTGTTATAATATTAGTAGTTTCATATCATACAATAAAATAATGTACTTCCCACATAGAATCAGAGAAAATAGTTTTCGACCATTTTCCCTTCAGTCCTTTCTATGGTCAACCACCAACTTCTCACATAATGAGTCACATTAGGGCATCTAGTAAAGAGAAAGAAAAAAGTTCATATTAAAAGTCAAATTCTGTCACGTCCGTTTTCTAGAAGAACAGCAAACGAAAAGTTATTTTTTCTATTACGAATAAGACTATATGATAACCGAGCAAAAAACAAATGAGAGTATTTAATGGCATTTTTGGTATTAGTCTTACAAGAAATGATTATCAAATCAACTGTTTATCTAACTCTAATATATTTAATATTTTTAAAAGGTCTGAAAAAAAGTCTTTGTTATTTTTAATTGTATTTTTATTGTGATTTATTTTTCAGTTTCGTATGGATATTTAGGATGTCCAGATAATTTAGTACCTTGTCGAAATAAAACACATTGTATAGAAATTAAAGAAGTTTGTGTTGTTTATGACGATTGTGTTGATGATTCTGGTGATGAAATATGTCCGTATTACTTTTGTATATAAAAAGATGTTTTTTTATTCATTAAGTATTTTTCTCTAGGCCTTCATTTGTCACAAAATATAACTGATTCAATATTATGTGTAACTCATATAGAACCTCAGGTTTCGTACGAACGTATATCTCCTCTTGAAATATGCGATGGTCATCAAGCTTGTTTCCTTAATGAAGATGAAGGCCCATGCAGTTTGTTGAATTAATTTATTTGATAAATATAAATCAAATAAATTTTTCTTAAGATAAAACACTATGTAGATATGATTATTGGTTGTGTAAAAAAGGTTCCTGTATTGAAAACGTTCGTGTTTGTGATGGACATAAAGATTGTCCAGATGGTAGTGATGAAGAGGAAGGGATTGGTTGTCATTATTCTGTATGTGGACCAAATAAAATACTTTGTCCAACTGGTCAGTGTATTGATGAAGTCAAGGTTTAAAACAATTATTTACATATTACATTTTTTGATGATTAAAACTTTTTGTTTTTTCTTTTCTATAGATGTGTGATGGAATTCAACATTGTTTAGATGGATTTGATGAGAAAAATTGTACACATACAACGTCAACAAGTACAGATATTTTCATATTGTTTCCTGGATTTAAATATATTTTATTTTTAATATTAGTTGCACCTATATTAGAAGTAGATGATTCATGTCCAGAATTTACTTGTTCAACATCATCAACATTTAATCATCCAATATGTCTATCAAATGATCGTATTTGCGATGGATAGTAAGTTAATAAATGGTTTCAAGAAGATAGGAAGCCATTCATTTATTTATTTTCTAGTAAAGATTGTCCTAAAGGTGATGATGAGCATAATTGTCATGAAAAATGTACTTCAAAATCGAACTGTCCTATAAATTCTGATATTACTTGTATCCAACATCCAGCAGTTGGACAACTTTGTCGATGTGTTAAACGTGGTTATCAACTAACAGTTCCTTTAGGACCGTCACGATCAGAGGGTCTTCTCAAGCCAATAAAAAAGAAAAAGAAACCAAAAAAAAAGAAAGGTTATCAACTAACAACTAGAACACCACAAAACAACACACTAAGATGTCGAGGTTAGTTTTTGATCTTCTTTTTCTTCCATGCGATAAAAATTGTTTATTAAATCAGATTATGATGAATGTAATGATTCTCGTCGTTCATATTGTTCATTTAAATGTATCAATATAGATGGTAGTTTTAAGTGTACATGTCCATCAAATTTTATGCTTGGTTCACGATCAAAAACATGTCTGAGAAGATATGGTTCGTTATTTTCTTGTATTTTCGAAAAATAATAATAAGCAAATCTTTAAATAGATTCATCAAAACCAAATCTATTAATTGTATTTGATAAGACTATTAATTTCTATAATATGTTGACTCCTGCTGATCAGTATGCATCACAATTATTAAATACAATAAACATTGAAGAAAATCATCGTTTTGATTATATACAATATGATCAGAAACAAATGTTCGTTATCTATTATGATCAAATACAACATGCTATTTTATGGTTAATTTCTTTCTTTATTTTTTTCTATAAACATCATTAAAATTATTCTGAATTTTAGTAAATCAAATCATGATTTAGAAACTATAGTATTACTTACGAATCTTACAGTTAATACTTTTGCATATAACGCAAATGAGAATATTCTCTTTATTATTGAGAATCAATCTGAAACATTACGTATGTATACACCAATTGTTTGTGATGTATCAATCAATATTCAAATGCATTCTTGGTCATTTAATAATATTGCTAATTCAATTCATTCAATGGCAATTGATGTTCTTAACAGAGAACTTATATTTGCTTCAAACTATCAAATTATGATATCAAATATGTCCGAACCAAATGTAACAAAAATAGTACATATGAGTGATCGAAAAATCAAAAAAATGATTTACGGTATGAATATATATACACTAACGTAAGATATTTTGCTCATATGAATATTTTATATATCTTAGATGCTGCATTCCGACGATTCTTTTGGACTGCAGCTAACAACAACAGTAATGAACTATTTCCTGTTTTTACTTGTAATGGTCAATTTAAACAGTGTCATGATACATCAATACGCTTACCATCTGCATCATTATTTGCTTTTTTTAATGTACGTAATTATTTATTTATTTTTTAAAACATCTCTTTTTGTCTAAATTGATAATTTAGGATGGTTTGCTTTATATTTCACCGACAAGAAAATCTTTAGATTTTATTCAAGTTTATGGAGAATATCGTTTTTTTGGACATTCGATAGCATCAACACATGATCAAATTCGTTCATTTGTTTTTATTGATTATCAACAAATTGAGGGCTCTGATCTCTGTAGAAAATATTCAAAAAACCGTTGTAAAAATCAACTTTGTTTACAAATAAATTCAACCAGAATAAATTGTTTATCAACCTATGGAAGCTTTATATCAACCAAAGCAACAACAAATATGTTAGCGTCAATAGATGTTGAAGATTGATACTAACTATCTTTTGGTGTTTTTCATTTTTTTCTCTCTTTCTCTCTTTTCCTTTCTAAGTTGTTCTCTGAACAAGTTGTTTTTCTTATCGTGTACACATACGTATGTATGTTATATAAATAAACATCTATACTTTTGAACATATATTAACCCAATTATATTAATACAAGATCATGTGAGATTACAAATTTGACAAACAGAGCTACTATATGGTGTGGGTGTGTAGGGGAAGGAAGGATGAATCCAGATCCATTCTCACACTCTAAACTGGCATCTACTCTGAAGAATTTTTCAAGAGTAGTGGCGCAGAATAAACTCAATAAATTCTGGTTTATGTTTTCTAAATAGATAATATTTTGAATATCTATGTTTTTCAATAACTACGATAGTTATTTTGTATTTCATAATTTTATTCCATAAGAGTTATATGTAGGTTATTTTCTATGTTCACCTTAAAATTGTCTTTTACGGACAAATTCCTATATTAAAATATATTCAAGTAATAATATGCATGTCAGATATGAAAACATGTTTGCTATCAATCATTGTTTATTACTAAAAAATCATAAAGATCATGAAGTCACATAACCTTTCTTAATTTATTGTTATAGTAATAACTCAAAGGAATACGATCGATCACTGTTTTTTCTCTAAGTCAGTATTCATGATAATAGTCATTCTATTCAAATTCAGAGTCGATCATTTTGTTTTCTATATTCCTACAGTATTCTTCAATTCATTTAGGTGAGCATTTTGTTAAAATTCAACATAATAAATGTATGATAAACAACATCTAACCAGTGTACATATATGTAGAATCTTTCTACTAGTGCTACAAGTTTCCAGCATACGATACGAAACAAAAGATCATATCAATTATAGTAAAGATTCTTTTTGATGGCGAAGAAACAACACTTCATTTTCTATTTGTCATTATAATATTTTTTATGATTTATTTTTGGTCAGATATGTATGAAATACGAGGGTGTGGGTATGATGTGTGTCGGGGAGTGGGGAGTAGATTGAAAATACAGATAATCCCACCCAAACCCTCTAGATGGTCGAGCTTCTACAATCTGTTAATCTCATAGTTGACAGAACTTTTGTGTAATAAGGGGAAACTTCTTCTTTTGACCAATAACCCTATGTAACTTTCAGTATTGTATGATACTTTTACGTAGTTAATTTCACAAGTTTTTATAATTATTCGACTATTTTGTTACTCAATCGTTGATGACATGTTTCTAAAAAGAAAGTTTTCATTTTTAGAATAAGCTATTATTATTTGTGAAAGAACAAAAAAACAAACATTACACTCATCAAAAGATTCATTCGTCAAGTTTATCTATTCTTGAAATGATGAATCCCAAAACTCTGTTTCAATGGTTTCTTCAGAAAGCATCCAATTATAATCTCTTTGTGCTCGGAGAAGATGACTATGACGATGATGATGATGAACCAAAAGATCCGGCAATTGTACTTAAATATCAAAAATATAAAACTCGATTATACGTCCTTCTTCTTACAGGTTCGTAGCAAACACGTTTTAGTTTTTCAAATGTACATTAGTGTTTGAGCTGATGACTAAATTTTATGTATGTAGAGAACGCTAACAACTATTTCTTCTGCTACGATATCATCAAGATTATTCAAACAATAAAAATGTAACAAGTATCTGATGTTAGAAAAATAAATATATGAAAAGAACTATTATAATAGTAGAAATTACAACTTTGGTCTAGTAGTATCTAAGATGGTACAGATGCCAGTGAGATATACTTAGATATCAATTGGAATCTATCCTTTTGTTTAGCATCGAGTGGAATGTATTGGATGAGAATTCATTGCCGAATTTTGATTGATTCAAATGGTTGGGTGGTGTATTTTTTCGTTACAAAGATGATATTGTAAAAATTCTCTATAGAATAAAACCTCTTATTGTTTGACAGTTGATTTCTAATCTCGATGACTCTTGATTTTTCTTTAAAGTCTTTCTCTTTCTTTTTTTATTTTAGTGTCCTTCTATATTCTTTTCTATACTACTTTAATGAAGACAGAATCTTCAACAATTACTGTCTCTGATATTACACCTGGCAAATTTAATGAACTTTACTCGAAACATAACAAAACTCTTTCATGTCCATGTTCAACAATCAGCATGCCTCATAAAACTTTTGTTTCCAATATAATCAAATTCCATCCTGTTTGTAAGAGTATTTTCGTGAATCAATCATGGATTGAAGCATTATATTTATTAAATGCAAGTCAATATGGTGTATGGGATTTTCGAACAACAGCTAGTTCTCAGGTGGGTGTATATTACTTTTCCAAAAAAACATTGCTTTAGATCAAAACTACATTTAATTGTAGTCTTGCTTTTCGATGGATTTGAGAATAATTTTTCATAGAGATTTTGTTATTCTTGTTTTGAGATTGATCTATATTCTATGAGAAGCAATAACGATAAAAAGTTTAAAAATGTGTCTGAAGAAGATTTAAAATCAATTTTCAATGATTAACATGTATTCAATCTGAAGATGGGTGTGGGTGTGAGTGTACGATTATTACAATACGTCTAGACCACACTCACACCCACGCTCTCAAGAAAATTTTTAAAATATACAGTTTCGTAGAGCTCGACAGGCTCTATCAAACCATATATAAATCGCGAAAAAAACATTTTAGTCGATTTTTACATTTGCTGCACCTTATAATCTTTTAGATATTAACTGATTGATTTTGTTTCTATTTAGTTTGCACTTTTGTCTAATTTGTGTTCAATCGCTGAAGATGCAGTTTTTCATGTTGAAAATGATGTTGGAAACAATGATTTTATTACCACTTATCTTCTTACTGACACACAAATTGAATTCGAAGTGAATAGTACGACGGAATCTTTTAAAAACAGTGCATCTGCTCGAATAGTTATGTTCTTAAACTACTTAAGAACAACTATACGGGGGAACTACTTAGTGTCAGCTCTTAATACAAATTTAATAGCTGAAATATCCACCGACTGGAATAGGTCTGATATAATTTCATTCTCAGTAGGGTATCGTTCTACAAGTGGAGGTGTGTTCTGTAATCGGGATAACCCAACCAGTGCAGCTACTCTCAATCCTCTGTTAAATGATTACATGACTACGGAACGAATACAGACATTCGAATCGATGCCAAATTCTACAATTGTCAATGGATTTTTTGCAGCATGTACTCCTCTCGAAGCTCTTCTTCAGAGTACACTCGATTGTTTATATGAAATCGAGTGTCTGCACTTATTATCCGATTATTTTCCAGTTCTTAATCATGTATGTATAACACTCTTTTAACTTTCATACATATTCATATTGTCTAGATGGATGTTAACTGGATCGACTCTGTTCTGACTTCGAAACAACAAAATCTTTCTGTGAACGACTATTTCAATAATCTTTTTATTGAAGAATGGTTGCCACAAATAAATTATTCAGAGTATTTTAATGAATGTCAACCTTCAGTCTGTACATACACGGCAACAGATCGAGCTAATATTTCATACGCAATTACTCTTTTCATTAGTCTATATGGTGGTCTCGTGATAATACTTCGTTTAATTGCATCATTTTTGGTAAGTGTCTCATTAAAATTCAAACATCGTTCAAGAAACGCACGTATGCATTTCGGTAAGTTTTTCGGATATACTAAGAAAAAGTTTCATCATAAATATAATTTATATTCAATTTGTAGTGTGTCACAAAATATATCTACGTAAATTTTGTCAATTGATGAAACGATTAAACTTGTTTAAGAACGTCAATAAGCGAACAGAAAACGATATCAAACAACAAAAGATTATCACACGTATTTATTTGATTTTACTAACTGGTATAGTTACTTTTACTATGTATACGTGAACTTAGATACTAAAATATTCAATAGTCAAATGTAGATTGTCAGATGATTAAATAATGAAAGATGTACATGAAATATCGTTGTTATTCATTATTTGAACATCTAAACTGCCAATATTGATTAATATAATATCTGACTTTTTGATTAAGATCTCAAAGATTAGATACAATTATCAAGTTTCGCACTATTGAATCTTACATAAGATATTGTATAAAAGAGTTCTGATGTCTGAGTTGAGATCTATGTTGATGAACTACTAAAGTTTCTCATTTTTTTCTGTTTATCACTTAGTAGTCTGATTTGTCATCAATCCATATCTTTTTATCATTCATAAATTGCAGATTGCTTCGAGTTGAACAAAAATAAGTTCATTGTCGACATACTAAGATTGTTGAATGTTATTTGCAATCTTTCTATCGAAGATATGTTTATAATAACATGTTTATTTTTTGGTTTTTCTCATTAGGTTCAATTATTGTGCTTCTTCTCTTCAATTCATTGAGTACTCAAACAGCTACAGTGACTATTCTAAATCCATCATTAACTGCGTATAAAAATTTACAGACGTTGCACTCAGCTACACTCAATTGTCCTTGTTCAACCAAAACTATCTCTTATCGTTCATTCGTTTCCTTATCTCCAGCATTGCATCAGGTGTGCTCAAGTGGTTTTGTTACTGATGATTGGTTTACTTTATTACAAAGAAGTATCAATATGTATTATCCTAATGATTGGCGTAATCGAGCTCGGGCACAATTCCAACAGTTGTCTGATTTTTGTCGACTGGCTAATAAAACGATTGATGATAGTGCTGATCGCTTTCTGAAGCAGTTGTTTATCGCGTCAACTGTATTTAATGAAATCGAGTTCGATATACAATTAAATGCAACTCTTAGACAGTTTTATAATTCAACGATTTTCGACTTTAGTCTTCAGAACGACGTTGTACGTCTTTTATTGCAAGTCGATCAGCCTTATATGGGACCATTAATGGCTGACATAGATTATTTGCATGCTAACCTAATCATAACCATTATAAAAAATGAAATAAACAATCAGTTCTTACCACAGGTGTGTTATTGCATAGAATAATGAAATGTTGTCTTTCTTCTCAAAAATACAGTTATGAAAGCCTGTTTTGTTTGTTGCTACTAACAGAAACAATCAGAACTGTGTACAATTAAAAAGTACTAGTGTCATCAGAAAAAACTGATTGATAATCCTACAGGATATATTTATCTGATGTTTTTCGATATAAATATTCGAAAAAACATGTCGCTATACTATTTCTCGTTATATGCTAATTGTTTTTCAACATAAAACCGCCATTTAAGAGATAGTGCTGGGTAAATGCGATCCACGATTATACCTCAAAAAAACCAGCATAATTGTAAAAGTGATGTAGAATGATTTTTTGAGCATGACTGTAGATTTTATTAAGTGACGATAGCAGAGCTTTGAGTGGACTAAATCAGGCTTAGAAAATTGGACCTCTACGATTCATTCCAAGTTATAGTAGCGCACCTAGAACAAGTATTAGAGTGAGCATAACTCCTTTCAAGCTATTTTTCGAGAATATATTAATCCATGCCTAAAATAACAGAATGATATGGCATTAGAATACCAATATGTGATAGATTTTATATAATCTCCATTGTACTTTTCAGAAGCTGATTCATACGAAAGGTATCTCAATCCATTTCTTTCTTATATAATTTTGCAAAAACCAATTGATAGCAAAACGTAAATCTTTCTTTTTATTTCTAGGTATCATTTATTTTACCTGGCATTCCAGAAATTAATTCGACAGTGCTCACCTGTGTTTGTTCAACTGACCCTCATTGTCAAGGTTCAAACGTCATTTATACTCCTGAATTGGCTGGTGGCATGTATCACCTTTATGTAATACCATTTTTCATTAGAGGTTGCCTAAATAGTGATTCTCTGCTGCTCTCGACCTTACAATGTTTGTATGCAGATTCAGATTGTTTTCTAATTCTACTGAGTTACTTAGAAAAGTCTGATATTTCCAGTGAGTTAAGAATATCGTTATATGATATTAGTCCTTTAATCAATGATCCAACACGCAGTCGTTTTCCTCCAAATACTTCAGTTTCAACTATAGTTGAAGAAATGATGATGGAACAATGGAATGTATTTTTGTCATACAAGGACTTTTACGAATCATGTGCACCGATTTATTGTACATATTCTGAAAAAATTCGTAAAAAGACTATTGCGGGAATAATTATAACAATGATGTCTGTGATTGGTGGACTTGTTGTCTCACTACGTCTTATCACACCGTATCTTGTCCGATTTGTCTATTACTTATGGGAAAAGATCAACAAAAGACAACAGAACCAACAACAAGACGAACAAGGTAGATATTGATCTGGTGTCTATAAAAAATATTACAGAGCAAATGTATTCATACAACAACGGTTTTCATCTAATGTAGTGTATATAAAATGAGAAGAAAGATAAGAAGAATTTATACGTGATCTTAGAGCATACTTTGTAAATAATAGTCAAAACTAGCAACTACAAACTTTTAAAATGGAATTGGCAAATTTCAATAATATTTAAATCTATGTCACATCTATTCATTAATCTTCAGTAGTGTCCATCACCTAAGAATTAACAATTCAAGAAGTTCAACAGTCATGTCATGAGAAGAAATCTAGTAGTTCGAGGAAACCCAGAGATTTCATAACTTATGCCATTTAAAGAAGCATCCATGTAGAAGAATGTGAGATTTACACAAATCAAACATATATAAAATTTGATTAAATCAAAAGTAAACATAGTAGTAGACGCGAGTATTAAAGTGTTGATAAAGAGTTAAAGAAGGACTTCATTTATATGCTCATCTCTAAAAGTGACACTCATCTTCTAGCATGATAGGTTATCACCACCCACACGTATATACCCTGTTTCTCATCGATCTACAATCACCATCAAAAATGTATAGCTTGTTTTTGTGTGTATAGTTCATGGAAACTGGTTCGATCGATTCAAAATGACTATGAGAAATGTGATCAAACTTCTGTGTACCACTCTCATTAATCTAAACATATTTTCGTTGAGTGATATTGGTAGTAATGTTGATCCGATAAAAGCTAAACGTCTTGGTCGATGGGCAACTCGTCTGTACATTGCTTTATTTATCGGTGGTCTTAGTATTCTTACTATATATACCCTAATTGAACCACAAATTATGACGAAAACGTTTGATAAACCGTCTTTCAATGTTTACAAGAATCTGAAACTGCTTCATGGTGATAAATTAAAATGTCCATGTTCAGTGATTGCATCGGTATATAGCCAATTTGTAGAAATTGAGCCAATATTTCACCAGGTAAGATAAGGTAATAATATTCACAGTCTTGTTAACAGTATTTCTATTGATTATTTTCTGAGATCATCTTATACCGCTCGAAAAAAAATAGTTAGTATAAGCTTTAAGTCGACAATATTATTTCGACGTAACGACTAAGGACAACAAGCACTAGACCGCTTTCTATAATACTCTAACAAAGACAATGATATTGAATGACATTAATAACAAGGAGTATACTGTTCTAGAAGGATGAGTAAATGTAAGTTCTCATCCATCTGCGTGCATCTTTTGTGCCCTTTCTCAACCATTCTTTTCCTAACACGAATGCTAAGTCGATATCCATGATTGAAACATCTAGAGAGTAAAAAATGACTCAATTTAGGCAATTAGCTAATAAACTAAAATTAAGACCAAAGAACTTTTTTCAATTTACAAAACACAAAGGAAAAAGATTTAGACAACATATTCTACGTTTATTACTAACAAAGAGGTTATAATAAAGGAAAGAAAAATTGTCAGAAGTCATCAGTTCGAACAAAACACTTATCATAATGTAGGATTTCGTTCGCGAGTATTTTCGGAACGATTTATCATTCATTAACAAAAATGAATAATATTTAATGAACTAAAAGACTGTCTATTTTATCACAGTATCGTAGTAACAACGTCAAATGCTAGTTCAGAATACTATCTTTTCTTTTTCTTATTCTTATCGTTTAAAGATCTGCTCGAGTCCATTCGCATCGGAACAATGGCGAATTAATCTTACAGTTGGTCTTGCTGCTAATTTGTCTATTTATGCACGAAGAGACTATCGTCGTTTTCTTTCTGCTCATCTACAATTTCTTCAAGGATTATGTCAACTTTCCATGAATGCAGTGAATAATTCGATCAATCAATTTCGTACCTCATTACTTGTCACTTCTGAACTTCTTTCAGAAATAAATTTTAATCAAACACTTGAATCGTTGATGGAACAGAGTAAATCAAATGCCCCTACAACATTCCGTCATCTTCTCTTTTTAATTCGAACTATCAATCATGGAAATGCTTTCATGTCAACATATGGAACAACTTTCGAATACATTGTATCCAAGGATACAACTGATACATTTTATGCGCCTACTCGAGCTCTAATCTATGATGATGAATGTTCTTGTGGGTTATGTTCAAATTGTACAACTCAAGCAAATTTTATCATATCCAATTCTCCTAAAATAATTTCAATTCCAATTAAAGGTTTAAAAATAGGATGTACACCAAGTGAATCATTTCGTGCTTCGACTCTTGAATGTTTTTATGATAGTTCATGTATTAATCTCATTCATCAATATACTAATTACAGCAATTCTCATGAACCTCTCTCTATAATGAAGAGTCGTTTCTCGATTAACACTAAAATAGCTGAACTTATTGATAATCTATTCATTGAACAATGGTCAAATAAGACGAATTATACATCTTATTTTGAGCAATGTTTACCATCGTATTGTTCCTATACTAGTGCTCAAAAATTCAACTTACTCAATATAATCACTCTTTTACTTAGTCTTCAAGGTGGTCTCGCAATCATTCTTAAATGGACTTGCCCTAAAATAGTTCGAATTGCATCTAAAATAAATGATTATCGAAAAAAGCGAACGAATACTGTTCGCCCTGTCTGTATTCTTGAAAAAACATCCAATGATATTTCTAACACAACCATTGAAAATGCCACTACAAATACAGAGACAAATTTAACACTAGAAACATCTTCGTATGTCTTTTTTTATTTTTATATGATTCATAATCCAGAATATCTCTTTACTAGGACAATAGTCGTTAGATCAGTTCGATGTACTTCCAAGGTCATTTTCGGATGTATACTACTGACTTGTGTACTAGCAGCTTTGGCTATTTTTTCATTTTATACCGTGCGACAAGGTAAGAATAGAATTGTCAAAGCAAGTACAAATGTTTTAACAACATATCACATCATACCCATTTCAAAACTTCAAATGAGTTGAATTTAGAAAGACAAAGTTGATCTAGATAGTTTTCCGATGCAAGGAAAGAGAATGTAGGATATTTTTCAATTTCATTGTATCAAAGGAATATGAAGCATTCTTTTGAATAATCTTGATATTTAAGCCGAATCAAATATTTAACAGAATATTTATTAAATATGTTTTCACTAGCTTCCTCGATCAACACGACAAATGATACTAATTTGAACCCAACAACAAATACAACAATGTCAACATTTTCAAGCACAACAAGTCAGTAGCTTAAACCAAAAAACTAATATGCACTAGTTCTTAGACAATCACTTTTAAGATAAATTCTTCGAGTTAGATTTATTCGTTGCTTAGTAATATAACAATACCGTCTCGTACTTATTTCAATATTTAGAATTATTTTAAAAACTCTGTTAAGACTAACGAAGGGATATATTTAAATACGTTTATGTGTTGAGATAGAGCATCTCGAATATCGACATTTTAGCTATGCGTCACATCTTGATCATTGGCGACTCATTTTATGGGGCTGTTTTTCTAAAATTTGTAGAAAACATCATTTCTTCAGCAAACATACTATATAAATCAGAAGTTTGATTCATTTTGTGCGAATTTTAAAAAAATGATCTGTTGAAGTGAGGCGTCATTGACCAAGATACCACGTTATAGCAAAGATGTTCAATAGTGCCATGTTTTAAGCTTTAACAAAATTAACAAAAACATTGATATCTGAGATACTACACGTGTCACTAAATAATAGAATGCTGTGAAGCTCTATCTCAAGGGATGATCACACTTAAACATATACCTTCGTAAGTACGTAACGCCTGATGTAGTTTTAGCTTGCATAAATCTCTTCTCATATACTTTCAGTTCGAGAATACCGAAGAGTAATTCTTTATTTTCTTTTTATTAGCACCACTTTGCAAGTTAGCATTTCGAACAATATCGATGAACATATCTGATTTTCATTATACACCACGCGGATTTGTATTTGCTGATTTTAATGATGATAATCGGCTTGACCTTGTATTTTATTCTAAACTTTATACGACTCTGAATCTACTTTTTGGAAATGGTAATGGAAGTTTTGGAGCAGAGAATATTATTCCAATGAAAAGTTTTAAGTTCTTGTCTTATATTGATGTTGGTGACTTCAATAACGATAATCGCTCGGATCTCGTTTTAGTCAATGACACCCATCTTGGTATACTCTTTGGAGATGACAACGGAGCTTTTGGAGCACTTATTAGATTTGAACTGGGAAAGGAATGCGAGCCAGTTGACATCACTGTAACTGACTTCAATCATGACAATTACTCAGATATCGCTATCGTTAGTCTGGTCAAAAATAATATTTGTGTATTTCTAAGAAAAAGTAACGACAATTTTTCATCGCCATTTATTTTTTCTACTGGACATAATAGTCAGCCTCGATCATTAAATATCGGTGACTTTAACAATGATGGTCACTTAGATATTGCTGTGAACAATAATAATGCTGTGAATGTTGGTGTATTTGTTGGATGCGGTAACGGAACTTTTGAAGTACAGAAACAATCTTTCACTTTCTATGGTTCTAATCCGAATAACATAGCAGTCGGTGATTTTGATGGTGACACTCATCCAGATGTTGTTATCTCCAATGGTAGGAACAACGTTATTTGTGTACTGTCTGGATATAATAATGGAATTTTTAACATCAGCCAGAAGTTTTTTATAAAATCTGTTTGGAGCACACCTTCAATTGCTGTAGGTGACTTTAATTGTGATGGCCATTTGGACATCGCTGTTGGAACGACTGATCCATATGGCATAGATGTGCTACTCGGATATGGAGATAGTCATTTCGATACGCAAACAATATTTCGGCCTGAGACTGTTGATGAAAATATTTGGATCGCTGTTCATGATTTTAATGGTGATACTTATCAAGATATAATTGCTATAGATGATCACCTTAATACTATAGATATTCTTTTAAACATATGTGAATGTTGCACGCATGAAATTCTCACGAAAAGCAACTCCAGTCTCCAATAATTCTAACAACTTTGATACTTATAAGTCTCTAACATAGCACAAATCAATCAGTAAAACTTTTATTTCTGAGAAAAGTATGACACGTAGCTTTATCTCCCCTCAAATCATTGTAATTAAAAACTTCTTTTTGTTTTTATTTTCACAAAACATTAAAGAGAAACAACATCTTGATAAGACGACATACATCTTGTGAAGTTCTCTTGTATAATTTTATTTTTATGTTCTTCATCTGTTACTTACTACTTCAGTATACTTTATCTTTTATTCTATTGCTTATTTGTGAATATCTCAAGCTATAATATAATCATGAAACCTTCTTCTAAGTTTGGAAGTCAAAATATCTATGAAAATTTGTTACAACTATCAGTTATTCAAATAGTTTCTAATAAATGAGAAAAAAAGAGTAGATATTTATTAATGCAATTCATAGGGTGTACAAAGATTTTTCTTTCATTATCGATAAAATCAATACAGAACATATGTAAAAATTGAAACATCATAGTTTCAACTTGAGTCAAAATTAGAATTACGAGATATTTATATATGATTTTAAAACGCTTGTTAACACAACTGCGTTAGATTTAAAATTCAGAATTAATGTACTGCAATATGCAATAACATGTCAATAACTCTGTAAGATTAATCGGTTTGTATTCCTTTATTTTGAATGTGAATACATTTCTATTATCATTTCACTATCGATCTGTCTTTCTTTATATTTCTGTTAAGTGTTCGTTTGAGATCTGTCATTTTTCTTCTTTATTTATTGAACCAATAATTTGACCACAGATTCTATGTCTGAATGGATTCTAATTTGTATTTGAATGGTTTCACACGCTGACAGTGAGCGTGAATGGATCTATAGATTTTACTGGATGAATGCAGATGTAAATTATATATTAATTTTGCAATCACTGCACTTTTATCCTCATCTAGCGTACCTCATACCTACACTCTCAGGATTTAGCTATGCATTTTTGACCTAGATCTCCATGGATTTGTAATCAAAAACTTCACCTCGAAAGAATTAATTGATTATCTAATACGTTCAACGACTCAGTTTTTTGTTCATGAAATCAAGAGCATCAATCGACTGAAAAATAGCTGTATTGGATTCAGGTCTGAATTCAACCACAACCAGAACATTTTCTTGCAAGAATGAATCATAAAATGCCGATCAAACTGTTTATATAATTCTGAGTGTCATTCTCATGCAGCGTCTCAAAAAAATCTTCGATTTCATTCTTCGCGTTGTACACTTGTCTGATATTTTGCGATAGATGACGGGTATGGGTGTAGATAAATAGAAGATGAATTCACATCTACATCCACACCGTCAGCAAAAGAGTAGATAAAACTTGATCTTCTGATAGCATTTATCTACTGTGCGTTTCTTTCACTGTATACTTATGTTTCACTTCATTTTCAGTCACACTTATGATGAATATTGTACAAAATCATGTACAATACAGTTCTCTTTTAGCAATTTTATTTGCCTAGTTGGCAGAGTAATGATTATAGTGTTACCCTTTCATTTGTTTATTTTTAATTTACTTTTTTGCAATAACATCTATCTAACGTTTTTATACAACACTACATAATATTTCGTATGTTGATATTGAGTAGTAAAAAAAAATTTATAAGAACGACAAATAACTACTAATTTAAATAATTTCCTCTGTATTTCATGTATTTGGCCATAGAAAGAAAGAAATATAAGTGTTTTGTGTTTGAACAGCAATATTTTGTCAATTTTTACAAATTATAATGTCTACGATTATACAATTATTTCCAGCTTTCGAGTCTTTAATAACATCAGACATGAGAGCATAAAGAAAAAAATTTCTTAGACATTCTTTTTTGCTTCATCTAGATACGTAGTAAAATTTTCTTTCGCTGTTTAGTTTAGTGACTGACAAGCATAAAAATACTTAACTATTTCTTTTTCATTCTCTGATTATTACTAAAGAATGTCTATGTTGATCTTCGTTTGTTTTTCATAACAACACATACAATCATTAATGCAAATTGCGTTGTTGTCCAATTCAAAAACATAGAAAAAAAATCGAGATAAGAAGTAGAGACCTTATAAAATGAACCACTTTCATAATTTTTTCATTCACAGTTTTAGCCAAGCAAGTCAAATACAAAACATTCGTATTAAAAGTAATGACAAATAAGAACCCAACAGCTGCTACCGCATTCAGTAATGCAAAACATGTTGAGCCAGAATCTGATCTCTCCGCGAGTACAACTGTAAATCGACGTATGAACATGCAAAGAACGCAAAATGTCCTTCTTATTTGGTTAGACAATAATATTAATGATGATAATGCTGATTGTTATAATACAATCAAGCAATTAAAACGTATAGTTAACAACGTAAACACATTTACAGATACTGAACAATGCGTTGAATTTATTCAAACCATTACCGACAACAAAATATGTATGATTATCTCCGAGTCACTTGGGAAACATATTGTGTCTCACATACATAATATGTCCCAAGTACACAGCATTTTTATTTTTTGTAACAATCAAGAATGTGATAAACAATGGGCCACAGAATGGCCTAAAATAAAAGGAGTCTTTACAGATATAACATCAATTTGTGAAGCTCTTAAACAAGCTATTCACCAATGTGAGCAAAATGCCATCTCCATCAGCTTTGTGGCATTAAACAAAAAGCTGGATCAATTAGATCCATCATTTATGTACACTCAGATCTTAAAAGAAATCCTATTAACTATCGACTTTGAAGCTGAACATATTAAAGAATTCATTACTTACTGTCGTGAAGCATCTGCCGAAAATGAGTATAATTTACATACTATAAAAAAATTGGAAAGTGACTATCATAATCATATACCTATTTGGTGGTACACTTCTGAACAGTTTTTATATTCGATGCTCAATCAAGCATTAAGATTAATGGATGTTGATTTCATTGTTCGAATGGGTTTCTTTATTAATGATCTACATCGTGATATTCAACGACTCCATTCGAGACAATTTGATGGTCAACAATCTGATAGAACATTTACAGTTTATCGTGGACAATGTCTTTCAAAAGAAGATTTCATCGAAATGACAAAAACTAAAGGTGGACTTCTTTCATTTAATAACTTTTTATCGACTAGTATAAATCCTGATGTTTCTCTATGTTTCGCACCACAAGCTGCTACAAATCCTGATGTTGTTGGAATTTTATTTGTTATGTCCATCAATCCTACTCATTCAACAACTCCATTTGCGTCTGTTAGTGATGTTAGTTACTTTCATACAGAAGATGAAGTTCTCTTCTCTATGCATACCATTTTTCGCATTGGAGATATTAAACCGATAGATGAAAATAATAATCTCTATCAAGTGAATTTAGCATTGACCAGTGACAACGACCAAGACCTTCGTACTCTTACTGATCGTATCAGACAGGAGACCTTTCCAGATTCGCAAGGATGGCACAGATTAGGTCAATTGCTAATTCAAATGGGTCAGCCTAACAAGGCTCAAGAAGTTTATGAAGTTTTACTTCATCAAACAACGAATGAGAGCGACAAAGCAAATATTTATCATCAACTAGGAATGATCAAACATAATCAGGGAGAATATCAAGAAGCACTTACACATTATAAAAAATCACTTACTATCGATCAAAAAACACTTCCTTCCAATCATGCTGATTTCGCTAACTCGTACATGGGTATCGCTAACGCGTACTACAGTATGGCCGATTATTCAAAAGCACTTTCTATTTATGAAAAAGCCCTGGCAATTCGACAGCAATCACTACCACTCAATCATCCTGATTTGGGTAGTTCCTATAACAACATCGGTATTGTATACGACAGCATGGGTGACTATCCAAAAGCACTTTCTTATTATGAGAAAGCCTTTGCAATTCGACAAGAATCACTTCCTTCCAATCATCCTGATTTGGGTGCTTCCTATAGTAACATTGGGTTCGTGTATTATAACATGGGTGATTATCCCAAAGCACTTTCTTATTACGAGAAGGATGTTGCAATTCTACAACAATCACTTCCATTCAGTCATCCTGACTTCGGCGATTCCTATAGCAACTTCGGTTTGGTGTATTCCAAAATCGGTGATTATACAAAATCACTTTCTTATTATGAAAAATCCCTTACAATTCGACAACAGTCACTTCCTTACAATCATCCTGATTTGGCTATGTCCTATAACAACATCGGTTTGATGTTGCACATCATAAATAGTTATCCAAAAGCTCTTTCTTATTATGAAAAAGCCCTCGCAATTCAACAACAATCACTTCCTTCTAATCATCCTGATTTTGGTGCTTCCTACATAGGCATCGGTTTGGTGTATTATAGCATGGGTGATTATCCAAAAGCACTTCCTTATTATGAAAAATCCCTCAAAATTCGACAACAATCACTTCCGACCAATCATCCAGATTTAGGTACTTCCTATATCAACATTGGTAGTGTGTATTATAGGATAGGTGATTATTCAAAAGCACTTTCTTATTATGAAAAAAGCCCTTACAATTCGACAACAATCACTTCTTTCCAATCATCCTGATGTGGGTATGTCTTATAACAACATCGGTTTGGTGTATTATAGTATGGGTGATTATTCAAAAGCACTTTCGTCTCATGAAAAAGCCCTTACAATTCGACAACAATCACTTCCATCCAATCATTCTGATGTAGGTATGTCCTATAATAACATCGGTATGGTGTATGACAGCTTGGAAGATTATCCAAAAGCACTTTCTCATTATGAAAAAGGCCTTGCAATTCTACAACAATCACTTCCTTCGAATCATCCTGATCTGAGTGCTTCCTATAACAACATCGGTGTGGTGTATGAGAATATGGGCAACTACTCAAAAGCTCACTCATTTTATGAACGTGCTGCAGAAAATGGGCAACAATCATTACCATCAAATCATCCATCTCTTCAAAAACGGAGAAAAAACCTTGAAAACATGAAAAAGAAATTATAATTTCTTTCTGTATTTTTTTTGAAAGTAAAACAAAGCTAATGAAAAAGAAAATGCGTCTATTGAAGTTCTGTTCTTGTTGAAAACACAATATAAGCAGTAACACTCACCGGTAAGATAAACAATACATATTGGAAAGATATGTATTGTAGAAAAAACCTTCACGGTTACATTATTATTTCTGAACGAGTAGAGTTTCGTTGTGTTAGATAATGAAAAAGATCCTCAACAGAAATATAGAAGGATAAAAAGTTTATTTTATCAATAGAGTGAATTGTTCTTTCTGTTCAATATGAAAGAGTAGTTCATACCATTAGTAAACTCATCCATATTAAATGAATAGAACACCTATATATATATGTACGAAAGTAATTGAGGAATAGAGCCATCACTTTCATATATGAATATATATAAGAATCCTATTCATTTTCCTATCAATTTTGAACTCAATCTTAGTCTTTTGCACTGATGATATTAAATGATAACAAGAGTTTATATAGACGACAAAAATCACGAATTCTTCAACTGGAAATGATTGAATGAAGGTTTCCGAGAAAGTCAAGTGAAATGTTTTGACTATAATAATATCTGAATCGATTTCTGACTACAAATCATTCTCGGAAAATTTTCAAAACTAGTATCAGTGTGTGTGTAATTAGTTCATGATAATAATTAATGAGTATCTTAGTTGTTGTGAAACATGTCGAGTTTTATTTTTTATGACTATGTTCATATCATATTGATAGTACACTAGTATAAGAATAACCATCTAAGAAAATGGAGGATATTGTCTTAATTCTAAAATATTCTCTAACATGAACAGTATATTCATGTTCTGGAGCAGAAATAAAGAGCATTTTACTTACAAACTAATGATTATTTCGATCAATATGTATATAGTCATCTTAATCTTTCTCAGAAGTAGTAATCTCACATGACTAAACAATATTCTTACATGTTCTGTTTTTAAGATGTTTTAGAAATCTATTTATCTTTAACATGACTAGCAATATCGATTTTCTTCGTTGGATGAAAATCAGTTTTATCCATGTTTTGAAATACATACATCATGTTTCAGTTGCATGAATAGTAATAATAAGTTTTTTTTCAACATTCAGACGCATTCCACTTCATTGTGAGGCTGGTCCTTGGGACTATTCAAATGTCGCCTAGTCAATATCAGTTGTACGAAAATGGTTATCTTACAATTATATTAATAGTTTTGCTTCATTAACGAAGTGGCTAATGTATAAGAGTTTATGTAGAACTACTTTAGCACAAGTAAAAAAAATTTTTTTCAAGAACTGAAGGATGGAAGTGCTCTCTTCCTTGATTCTTTATTCACGATAGGCTTCATCAAGATCAAAAGTAACAAAAAAAAACCTGCTCGCATAACACTTTAATAATTCCTAAGGCTATTCGAATATTCTGGTCTGTTATAATCGAATGTCGCTTCCAAGCGACATTCTTCTCAGGATACCATGATATATCATAAAAATTAACTAAAAAATCTTAATAAATAATTATTAAGTATAACACAATCATTTGTTTTGCTCTGAATTTCAGCATTCTGTATGTATACTTTTAGACATATCTAACAGAAGAAATTTTAATTAACTATATATGTATATTTGTTATCAATTGGTAAATCGATTATGACAAAGATTGACAGCTATACTATGACTAGTATATTTTTAAAGAAATAATATATTTTATGATTATATATTCTGTTTTTATTAGGCTCTTTCTTGTTCATTTTGAATTATTTGATGAACATGTAATAGCATGCAATCAATTCTTTTTTCTCTCTCTGTGTGTATTATATAATCAGCATTTTTGTGTTACTTCAAGTATAAATTGCTCCTTTCATATTTTTGTATTGAAATATAGCATTAGTAGGTAGAGAATCAATACAATGATATTCAAATTTATATTTTTTTGACAAGATATGAACAGAATGAATTTCTATATAAAATCAGTTGAACTA